CAGTGTTACTGAGCTCTGCTAAAGCCTGAGTAGACTGATAAATCAATGTGATGATCAGTTATTAATCTCAGTATTACTGAGCTCTGCTAAAGCCTGAGTAGACTGATAAATCAATGTGATGATCAGTTATTAATCTCAGTATTACTGAGCTCTGCTAAAGCCTGAGTAGACTGATAAATCAATGTTATCAGTTATTAATCTCAGTGTTACTGAGATTAATAACTGTGCTTGCTAACCAGTTTTTGTTGCGAGAAGTTTGAGAACCGAAAATGAAAAATGGATGATCATACTTATTATTTATCACAAGAAAAAGCATCGAAGAATGAAAACATGAAGAGGCAAAACAAACTCAGGACAGGTGATGAGTAGATTCTACTACATGCTTGGAAAGGATGGGGTGAGGGAGGGGTATTCATTTGGTTGTAATCTGCAACCTCACCACTAGATGCCACTAAATCTTACTCAATGGTTTTATCCACTTTCTTTGCTTTTGTTGAAAATACAGCAAGTGCTAGCCTACCTCCCTCAACAGGTAAACAGGAGAAAAGGATACACCAAAACAGACGGCACTCACCCCGACGTAGGTGTGAGTAGTAAGTTATAGTAATTGTTAAACAGGCAACATGGTACATAGTACAGTATCAACAGACAGAGCTAAACATCACTAGCATAAACATCAAGTCTAGTAAATAATTCTAACCAGACTGTAACTCCATCAGCTCCAACAGCAACATAACTCCAGCTTCTCCCAGAGACCACCGTGAAACATCTCAGGCCAAACTGTGGGCCATGCTGGTATTGCAGTTTTTATTGTAAATTGTTATAATACAAACATTTAACCCAATGTAATTTTAAATATGACAAATTATTTGCAAAAATAAAACATTATATTTATATCAATCTCATTGATTGTTCTGGGAAAATGTTAGTTATGGTTAAATTTTCAGAGCAAGCATGTCTAAAACAAAGGAAATACAGCTTCCAGTTACCTCAGAAGGAGGCATTGTCCAAATGAGGTATAAACCGAGACGAGATCGAGGCTGCTAGTTTATGTTCTCGAGACCCAGACCGGACTTGAGTACTACAACACTATGATCTGGAGATAAAGGTGTGAAAGTTCCTTAAAAAACATGCAAACCAGCATGCTTGACCTGCACTCAGGCTACACTGCTCAACATGACCAGACGGAAAGTGGTTTTCACCTCTTTTAATACACCTCTGATCGTCCTTATAGACGGCTATAAATTCACAAAATGATTCGAGCACCATTGAGCGGTCCTACCGAGCACACGCATATCATTAGTACAGCGTTGTAACTGTTTTGTTGTGTTTTAATGTTAATTCAATACAGATTCAGCTTAATACTACTTACTCCCTGATGAGCTGATTTATCAAAATATCCAAATTATTCTTTTAATGCTGGAACTATTTTCTGATAAGAACAATTGCCAGCTTCTTGTTTGAAATTAAAATAGTGCAACACTTCCATTCTGATGCCTGAGGCATTGTAACATCTGTATTTAAGGTGGAACGGGAAAATTCAAACAAAAAGCTGGACAATGAGAAGCTAAATTCAGCTTCACAGTTTTAATGCTGGTAGATTTAAGGTCATTTAAGCTATCACAGCAGCATACCGAAAGGATTTATGTATGGAGCTAACTATAAAAAAGCACGATAGGACATTTCAACAAGGCAACGTTAGCACATTTCTTCAGAACACCAGCCAAACATTAGCATAGCTTAGCGACATCAAATTGATGCGCAGCAGCTTTAGCATATGTACTTTACGACTCTTTAACAACATTGTAAGTCAGAGATATCCAGTGATATATGAGCAAAAATGTACGCAGGACAAGACGTATCAGGTTCTGAACATTTTTATTTACTACAGGGTGTGATAGAGGCGCTTTTTCGAAAACACTTATTTTGTGAGAGAGAAACTGAGCTTAGACCCAGAGTTCCAAATATGGACATAACGCAAAATACACCCTTAGAAAACCCATAGAAACCATGAAGTGTTTTTGTTGGTTCCTGATGGTTTTGTAATGTGTTTTGGCTTTTTAATGGATTAATACTACAGTGTAGAAGATCCTAATGGCAGAGGTAAGTAATGAATTACATTTACTCTTGTGACTGTACTTGAGTACAGTTTTCCCTGTAATGGTACTTTTTGGAGTAGAATTAAATCATAGTACTTTTACTCTTACTTGGGTTCATTTTCACTAGCAGAGCGGACTGTGATCAATCTCAGCTCTCAGAACTTTTTTCCTGCATAATATCATGTTTTGCTTTAGTGTTTTTTTGTACGGATTATTTCCAATTATGTAGCTGAATCAGCTCAGAAATATATTCAGGTTGTGACTCGAGTACTTATTATTTTTTTTTAAATAAACTACTTATTTATTCTTACTTGAGTAATTTTATTTACTAATACTCGAGTAAATTATCACTACAGTAACAGTTCTTGTACTTAAGTAGGGATTTGCAGTACTTTTTACACCCCTGCCTAATGGTTTAACAGCTGACCAATGGCTGATGCTAAATGCATTTGATCGTTTCCAGATGGGATCAATACATAAGTTTTAGTTTTAATTAAATTTTGTTTTTTAATGGTGCTTTTTCAGCTTTTTCAGTATAACGCATGACTTGTGGTCTACGTATATGACTCCTGTCGTGGTTCCCTCTTGATGGTTGTAGGTGGGGCATTAATTACTGCGACACAGCGCCTGTATAACGTGTTTTCCCGGTCAGTCGTCAAAAGCGTCGTGGATGCTGAACGGTAAGCAGGCGGTTCCGCTCTTTCCCACGTATTTCTCTTTTTAAGCATATAAGGATGCTTTTAAAGTCATTTCTAAGGATTTAAACACTGAACTGTGAAGTCGTAGTACTGTTGTACATGTATATGCGATGTTCTCTCCAGACTCCTAAGTGTAAACGGCGCTTTTAATGCCAGAGTTGGAACCTCAGTAGTTTTTGTTTTAATGCCTCGTGCAGGCAGGAGAGAGAGAGAGAGAGAGAGAGAGAGAGAGAGAGAGAGCGCGCGAGAGAGCCTCGGCGCATGCGCGCTGTCACCCAAGCCTCTTGTGTTCAGGTAAGTTTTACTGTTTAAAATGATGAGCAAATTTCAACAGTTTGCTCACTAAATAACTGTATTTTTCTCTTGTCAAAGCTTTTTGTCTGTTGTAGTCTCTCAGTTTTCCAGCCAGTTTAAATTGTAATTCTCTATGTACATTTGTTTTGAGGTGTCCATATAGAACTCACCATTGCTTCTAAGGGAGGCAAATCCAGCCAAAAAATTAGAACATTAAAATTTAAACAATAAAATGTAAATGCAAACCTCTTTTCGCCATTTCTTTTTCCAAACATCTGCGCAAATATCCTGCCAAAATTGAAAATGAAATGAAATACCTTCATTTGCAATTTCGTTTTTCACATGAGCACGAGTCATTTGTGACAAAAATAAAAATAAATTTAAAACAGCTATTTGTCATTTCATTTTAGTCGTTATTCTGGTATTTCATGGCCAAATCTAAAATGAAAAAGCTAATAGAGAAAAGAAAATCCAAGCTTCACTTTGGCTTTGGCTTTTCTCCATGAAATGCAGAATACGTGTCAAAACTAAAATCAAAATGCAGTGTTTATCTTCTTATTTCTTTTTCATAGCAATCGGCTGCATGTCTGACAAAATGAAAATGCAAAATGGATAAATCAACAGCAAAGTGACAGTTTGTGATTCAGTTTTTTGGTGTGGACGCGCTTGAAGTGTCAAAATGAAAAGGCAAATGCAAACGAACATCAGCGCCACCTGCTGGAGATTTACTTTTCATTTGCCACTTTGCTTTTTTGTTTTCAAACTGACAAACATGCAAATATATGTTAATTAGCACTAGGCAGGGTTACGGGGTACATTTTAGGGCATCCTCAGACCTCCAAGTCAGAGCGGCATCATTCCTCAAAAGCTAAACAACTTCGAGTCTCGAGAAAAACGTATTAAATTTATTTTTATTTATTCTTATTTTTGTCACAAATGACAAAAAATGAAATTGCAAATGTAGGTATTTCATTTCATTTTCAATTTTGGCAGGATATTTGCACAGATGTTTGGAAAAAGAAATGGCAAAAAAAAAATGTGCATTTACATTTTATTGTTTAAATTTTAATGTCTTTTTTGGCTGGATTTGCCTCCCATATGTTTCATGTGTGAATCGCTCAATTGGATGCAGCTCAAATCTAGAACCCAGTTTAACTTTCAAAACTTCAGCCATCGTTCTCCTCAGTTCCCAAACGCTTACAGAGTGTTGTTAAACGAAGAGGTGATGCCGTACTGTGGTAAATATGTCTCTGTCCCAACTTTTTTGAACGTGTCAAATTCAAAATGGGGACATATATTTTCACTAAAATTGAAAAGTTTAATCATTTCATATGTTGTATTTGTTCTATTTTAATGGAGGACTCCATTGATTTTGCTTAATCATTCAATGGTTTAGATGTTAACAAAATCATTCAGAGGGGTTTGGTGTGAAATGCGCCTTTCTAGAGAAATTCATCGAGTCAGAGTTGTTCGGTATTGTAGTACTAGGAACCAGACATCCTTATATCTACACTATAGATATCACCATTTTATCTGCTGTTCAAAATGACCAGTGAACTTGCATGTGCCTTATAAGGTTTTATGTTATGCTGATGGTAAAATAGTGCTAAAAAAAAAGTTTTCTGTCTGTACTACGGCAGGTATTTTGTTGTTTGGGTTGACACCGTTGCGTTGCACGGTCAGCAAAACTCAGAACTTATATGAGTAACTTGTTCATCAGAGGAGCTGCGATAGAAACAGTGCGTCGGTTGCCATTACAAGTACCAGAAATCCTGAGGTTGTGGCTAATTGTTTTGATGCTGCACGCAAATACCAAAGTCTCTCAAATTCAGTAGGCATGAGAAGGGCATCCAACACCATAAAACAAAGAAGAGAATTCTAAATCTTCTAAAATAAAAACAGAAATGAAAATGCTTAAGACGTTTATTTCACTGATAATTCAACAGAATTAAGGCTCCACAATCACACCCAAATTTCCACTGTTAAAACATTCTTGAAATTACAAATTGCAGTTTAATTATGATTTAATTATGATCATTTGTGTTCAACGGTTATTAAGTAATTAGGTAGTAACCTTTTGATTTCATATAGGAATTAACAACAGCAATGAAAATAAAGAAATTTTAGCATAGCCCTTTAACAACAAATGCAAGCGTCAACCAAGTAAATCAGAAGCTCATGCTGATGGAAGTTGTGTCATGGAAGTCCACAGATCTGCGTCTTCTGGCAAGGGGATGCTCATCATCGTCATCACCATCATCATCATCACACGGCTGAGAAAGAAAATCGAACATGAGAGTTAGTCAACACTGTTCGTCGTATTTCAGCAATTGCTAACTTGCACTGTAGTTTTACTGTGAAAGTACAGTAAAATTTAATGGTCAGTACCCGTATGTCGACAGAAAGAGTCAATGCATATAAATAATATAAATGCAAATTATTTGTTGTGTGATGAGAATGAATCTGATGAAGCAGTTGGGTCTAATTCTGAGTGATGATGCTGAACCAGCAACATCTGAGTTTTAGCTATATAAATTTATGTGGGTTTACGATTAGTGTTTGCTATTAGGCAAGCACTGATATTCACTGTTGCCCTTTTTATGTGCTGTAACTGCTTATTGATTTTCAGGGTGTTTATGAACTGATTAATAAGCATTAATATAAAAATTTTAAACCATTCATAAAATCTTTATAAGGGAAGTCTTGTTAACATTTATAGAAACAGAATTTAGATTCACACAAACAATTCATCTCTTTTATTTAAGGCATTTGCACTCATTTTCATGGTGTAATTTTTTTTGTAGTATTATTGTTAAAAACAATCAAAATATTTTAAAATTTTTTAACTTTTCTAAAAAATTAAATGGCTTAAATGACTGTAATTTAATGCATTTTTACCGTCATTGGTAAAAAATATACTTCTACTGTTAATTATTAACTCTGGTTTCCTCCCACAGTCGAAAGACATGCAGTCAGGCCAATTGGATATACTAAATTGCCCCTAGGTGTGAATGTGTGAGTGAATGTATATGTTTGTCTGTCTGCCCTGCGATGGACTAACAACCTGTCCAGCGTGTATCCTGCCTTCTGCCCAGTGACCACTGGGAAAGGCTCCATTACCCCACCGTGACCCAGAGGAATACGCGGTTTCAGGAAATGTGTTTGTGTATGTGTTAGTTATCAGGTTTTGCCTGATTTTAACAGTGTACTTCAACTATTCTTTTGTGAAAGACCCGTATCAGCATCGCAAAAACTCACAAGTAATGTGTGCTGAAGAACTGGCCAGTGATTGGCTAAATGGATGATCTAAAACTCACCAGTGTGCAGTGACCTCCATCCACCAGGCACAGGTGGACCCTGCAGTGCAGGTAGAAAGAATTACTGACGCCAGTGAAGGTGAACATCCTGAAAGAGAAGTGGCTGGATATCGAGACTCCATTCTGCAACACCTCCACTGTGCCATCCTTAGGGTTAGGACACCTGGAGGGCGAAAGAAGAATTAAAGATTTGGGAAATGTAGGCTGCACATGCTGATTCTTAGGATATTCAATACAGCATTTTCATTCAAACAAAACGGCAGATTAGATCGCCACACATCACAAACACCATCTGACACCATATTTCATCAACAAAGATCATCTCCTTTCAGGAACCGAAGCTCACGTTTACTAAGATACATGATTATATGCTTCTTACTCTTTAGTGATCAGATCCCAGTGGACGTAGTAGTTCGGATCATTGTAGGGAGTGGCCCAGCAGCTGTCCAGCACAGTGGAGAACACCTGACTGTCGACTCCATCCACCTCAACAGATATGAAGACCTGCTGGTTCACTTGAAGTGTGACAGTACCGGAGAAAGGACTGGTGAATGAAACATCGCTGTAGGGCACCATGCGGATCTGGTATGTACCCTCTGTACCTGGCAGGTTCTTGCTGATCACACTGTGTATGAAGAAAAATTGTCATTTAAAGAACATTAATTCAAGACTCATACAAAAAGATTGTCTGCTGGTGATACAAATTTTGCTACCTATCGATAGCCTGGAAGGTCATGGGTGCAGAGATGCTCTGGATGAGCGGGTACACACAGGAGAAGTTAAGGTTCAGCCAGCTGTCACGACTGACCACACTCCTTGGTCCAACACTCGAGAATGACTGAATGGAGTTCTGGTAGATGAAGTGTGTTGAATTAACCTGAAAGACAGATGTTACAGTTTGAGAAAAATAAGCTTCTTCAGAATTTATTACTATCAGTGATTCTACATCATTTTCATCGTAAGAATGCAGGGTTCATTTAACGTGAACATGAAATCACATGAACACAGGCTGAAAATGAAAATACGCTGAACACAGTCTGTAGTTTTCGTCATCAAAAAATACTTCATCTCTTCACGCTCTCCTACCGCTATGTTACATCTTGGTTTGAGGTGAAGTGTAGCAATTCACTTTGTTATTGCTTTTGTTAGCTTGCTGCTTGTTGATTTATCCACTGTTATTTCATACGTACTGTCAACAGAGTCTGATGAATTACTGATGTTGCTGCTGCTGTTTTGTTTCTGAATAATACCTCAGACTTGACATACTTTGGTGACAAACAAATTCACAGCATTCAGTTCAACAGACAGTTTTATCAAGAAAGCCATCACTGAAACTCTTCGTGTAAAAACTATTTGAACAAGAGGTCTACATTCATGAAGTCAGTTATATCAACATACAACGTGCAAGCAGCTGAGCTTCAGGGTGGAGCTACAAATGGTTTGATGGCTCAAATTAGCAAACAGTGTTAACAGGATTAAGAAGTGCCATTTGTTTATCACATGTTACGAACATGTTAACCTTGACAAGATGCACCAATCAGGCATAACATTAAACCTCCTTGTTTCTACGCTCATTGTCCATTTTATCAGCTCCACTTACTATATAGGTGCACTTTGTAGTTCTACAATTACAGACTGTAGTCCATCTGTTTCTCTGTATGCTTTGTTAGCCCCCTTTTACCCGGTTCTTCAGTGGTCAGGACCTCCATGGACCCTCACAGAGCAGGTATTATTTGGGTGGTGGATCATTCTCAGCACTGCAGTAACACTGACGTGGTGGTGGTGTGTTAGTGTGTGTTGTGCTGGTCTGAGTGGATCAAACATAGCAGTGCTGTTGGAGTTTTTGATTGTACTAATTGTACAACTATATGGTGAGCTGAGCTGATAAAATGGACAGTGAGTGTAGAAACAAGGAGGAGGTTCTAGTGAAGTGGCTGGTCAGTGTGTGTAATGCCCTTATCTCTCTTTGGAAAGAGCCATTACTGTACCTCCAGAATAGTGCCACAAGTATTGTTATCAAAATGGAACACCAGTCTGCCATCTTGGGCCTCCCCTTTGCATGAGGGATCATTGAGATGGAGGACCTCTGCAGGATATCCAGCTTCAAAGAGCTGGCAGCGGGACAGAGACACTGACCTAGTAGTGCCATCACAACTCTCAGTGGCATCTGAGAAAAATGGAGTAAACAGTGTCAGAAACATTTCTCTTAAAATGGCTACAGTATCAAGTATAAAATGGCTTTTACTGGTATCTGGTGTCTGATGGTCTAAGCTGTTTTTTGATGGTCTAAGAGGTTGACAAGTTGGACCTCACAAAAACACACCCTATACTGGTTAGGCTGGTAGACCAACTTGGCTGGTCAAACTAGTCATGCTTGGTCAAGCCAGTTGACCAGCTAAACCATCAAACTCAAACAAAAACACTCTGCTTTGTCTACCAGCTTAAGCTCCTTGACAAGTCAAATGTTGCTGCAGCATGTGGCATAAATCATCAGTTGCAGCATCAGTGGGTGAATAATTGGGGGATGGAATGAACTAGATGTGCCATTTCTAGTAGCATCCAAGTGATTGTTGTTGAGAAAATGCTAATTCTTCCAAACAACTTTTAAAATGATGTCAGATGAGGTTCTTTGGAGTGACTTTATATTTCTATTAATGTGTTTTCTTGTTCGTAAAGGTAGGAGATGAAAACAAAAATCTATGAATTTTTGGCTTTGTTAGGTCATGTTATTGACATATCGAATGAATACTACAGCAGCACTGAGAAATCATGTCATTAATGGAGAACAGCAGGTTAAATAACAGAAACAGCCACCATTTTGCATCAACATTAATAGGCTATTCTCCTCACCTGTAAAGTGACCACCAGGATATATCTGGTGAAACTTTCAGTGTAATGCTTGCAGAACATAAACAGTAACTTAAGAATGGATTTTGCCTCATTAATGAAACTTTGGTGATCATTTAAAGACAGATAGCAGGAAAAGTAAATTCCAGAGTAGCATCTTCAGTTATGTGTCTCACCGACTACTCTTTAGTACTTCGGATGAATTAAAAAATTTCTTTTTAAGTGAAATTTACCAAAATGGTCAGGATCGAATCTAGGATTGCTGTTTGCACAGGCACAGCCATAAACTCCAGATCTCGCTACGCACACCTCATTCGCACTGCAGTCCAGAACCCCACAGGCTAAAGAGAGAGAAAAGTATTAGACAGACAGACACAATATGGCATGGTCAGGCACCCCATAGTTACATTATTGTAATCACATTACAGTTACTGACTTAATAAGAATTTTGTTATATTAACAATATTGGTCACACTTTATTTGGATGGTCCCTTATAGATGCTTTACAGCTACTTAAATCATTAACAAACTTTCTGGTGATCCTCAGTTGATTATCAACAACATTAGGGTTAGGAGTAGATGTAGGTTTTGTGTTGAGGTTAGGGTTAGGTTTAGGGTTAGGGATAGATTTAATAAACTCTTTCACACTGAACTTCAAGTTCAGTTGAATTTAATGGAGATTTAGTTGAATGTTATTGAAAGGCTCTGACCATTTACAAAGCATCTACAGTGAACCATCTAAGTTACATTCAACTTCAAATTCAGTGGCATTTAATGACTATTCAGTGGACCATCCAAATAAAGTGTCACCACAGTATTAATTATGTTCACACACACACACACACACACACATTTTCTAAGCCGCTTATCCTTCTGGGTCGCGGGGGAGCTGGAGCCTATCCCAGCAGTCATTGAGTGGAAGGCAGCATACACCCTGGACGGGTCACCAGTCCATCACAGGGCAATTATGTTAAATTCGTAATTATATTCAATGCATTTAAAACAATTTCCTCTATATAGATTATCTGTTATCACTATTATTATATAGTGTTATTTTTTCATGCGAGTTGAACGAAGGTTTTAATATTTAAATATGACATTAAGCCATATCTTTTTGTAAATTGTTTCAAGGCCTAATATAGAACAGCCACTCAAAGACACAAAAATTACTGACTGCAACCCTATATTTTTGGATATATAGTCGTGTCCCTGGTCAAATGACATTTTGTTGAAATTGGAAATAAGTTAACAGAAAAACACACTTCTGCACATTTTAATGTACAATTACTGTTTATTTGCTGAATTTGACTGAACAAATATTAGGGTACATTTTATATTTTTTCCAAATATTTTCAACTCAGCACAGAAACTAAAACTGTGCATTAAAATGTGCAGAAAAATCAGAAAATCAACAATAATTCCATTTGACTGGGGGTGTTCCACTACTGCATATGACTGTATGACTACTGCAGTATTTTGTTCGCATTAGTAATGGTATGACGCTCCCAACACATGGAAAAATTACCAACATAAAAGGCTAAACTATTTCTTTGGGACTGTTTATGAAATGTACAGCCTAGGCCCACAGCATAAGTGATATGCTATGATCTGTTTGGATCTCTTAATGTTTAGCAAATGGAAGAGGGAGCTGGAGGGGAGGAGGTGAGGGTGGACCAGGAAGACGGAACCGAACAGAAGTTCATTAAAAAAATAACATATAGCATTTTTAAAGAAACCTCAAAAATTAAAAAAACTGAGCAAATTCAAAAAAAAAGTTAAGCAAACTCTGAAAAACACAAGTAAACGGCATTTCATGATAAAGATCTTTTGCTTTCTTTTATCCTAAATCAACCCTGTGAACTAGTACTGTATGTTATGTCCTACCTAGGAAATCCCATACACGGATTTACTATACGAGACAGAACCCACCAAGTTTGTGAAGTCCTGCAAGCTAAACTGACCCATTTAAATGCACATCTAAGGAGTTACACTGAGGTAATTGCTTCTAAACTTTGACTTTGACTTGGACCTAAAATTGCAAAAATAGGTTAAGGAAATGTGACAGTGATGTAACAATAATCTTTCAGAATTCTCATTTTTGCATCAGGCTTACAACTTAGTTTAAAAAGCTGCACACTGAAATAAAGACAAAATAACAGTTAATTCTCTAGAGATCATACCATCAACACGGAAAGCCCAGCGACCAGGCCTTCCAACATTAGAACTCCTGGACAGGTCAGCGGTACTGGCCGTCTGAATCCTGAACTGATAGGCGTTGTCCTCTGTCTGATAGCCAGCCTAAAAAAATATTTTTAAAAAAATGAACGTTGTTAATGTTGAATATTATGAAACATTGAAATCAGTAAAGACATGCATCAACATGCTTCTCTCACCATCCAGCCTTCTGGATCATTTGGAATTTGACCGTAGTTCATCAGGACAAAAGAGACGTCACTGTCTTCATCAGAGATCAGGACTACTTGGAAAGTCACCTCCTTCAAGGGAAGAAAGATGTTAAAAACCGGCTTGGAGGCAGCGACTGAATCCTAAGGACAGACACTTACCCCCCAATCTGGTTCGAATTCCACCTTCTCCCAGGTGCCAACGAAGACCCAGGCAGCAGTGAAGTCCAACCCGGGGTACATCTGTCTAATTTCTGCTGTAGCTTGTGCTATAAGCGGTCCACTTGTTGCTTGTTGGTAGGTGATGTTTCCTCTGGTGTAAGTGTCAATGTCAGTCCACAGTGGAGCGATGATATCTTTGTTTGAAATTGGGACATAGCCGTCAAAGAAGAGGGACTCAAAAGAAAGGAAACCATCCATGCTGAGCTGAAAAAAAAATAATTAGAAATATATTTTAGATAATGATGTTCTCCAAAAGACAACATGAAAGCAACAGCTAAAACATCTCATCTTTTTGAGGTGCCCTGTAATAAAAGCATTTTGACCTGTCTTGTAGGGAAAAAGAGGGTTTGGTTTTTGGTGTTTGTCTACACCAAATACTGTTTATGAGATCCAAGAAACTCTTCATGTCATTTTTATTATCATAAACTATGCAAACAGTTTCTTGTCAACCACAGCTTATTGCATTCAGAGCAACACGTTTGGTTGTTTATTAGCTTGCTCAGTTTGAAATATGGAAAAAAAAATTGCATTAAAAAATCTTAAATATAAATCATTATTTTGCTTGTTCATTTGGCTTGACAAAGACAACTTACAGTTCTTCATTTTATTATTCAATGTTTTATTTGCATGGTTTCACAGGTTGCAGTTTTTTGAACTAAAACCACAAACCTTTGCAGGATCGTAAGGCCTATACAATAATAATGTGCTTGTGTTTTTGGAACCAATCGGATGCATGCTTTTTCACCTTAGCAACCACTTGGGATACCATAGCAACAGCCTAGTAACACCTTTGCAACCATCTGGGATGGCAATGGCTTAGCAATGGCCCAGCAACACCTTAGCAACAACCTGGAATTCCATAGCAGTGACCCAGCAGAATCTTAGTAAGCACCTTGGGATAGCGTAGTAAAACCTTAGCAACAACTTAGGGTTCCATAGCAACAGCTTTGTCAAGCCAGGTAGTGTCATTCATATTTCACTGATACTTAAGGTAAAGGTATCAAAGATGGATTTGGCTTTTAAAAATAGAGATAGTTATGCAAAGCAGAATCTTCCTCACTATGAAAAGTGGTGGTCATGCTGAGGGGTCCATTGGCTTCCAATGGTTCTGGAAACCTTAGGTTGCATGGAAACATGACCTGTGTCAAGTTCCAGAACATTCTAGAACATCCAGAAAACCTGTCCAAGAAAGCTTGATCATCACTGAATCTTCTATCAGGGCAATGATCCAAAGTATTCCCTCATATCCACATAAATAAAAATCTTTCACAATGACCACCAATGTCCCCTCACATAAAACTCCCCTGAAAAACTGGGTAGAAATGAATAGGATGGTCTAGTACCGAGAATTAAGAACTCTGAAGAACCTAGAGATGTAGGAAAGGTCTTGTTCCCTCCTAAGTGTTCCATCACAAATTAAACAACAGTTAGTTCCGGCCATGCAAGCTGATTGGTTGAGAGGCATTCTAATCGTGCTGTTATTTCGCCATAACATTGCAGGTTTTTCACAATCATTGTATCACTCTGCTAAGACACCGTTGCTAAGCAACGAGTTTGACGAGTTTATACTTTTAAGATCACATTTGACCGACAGCCGATTTGGTCAGACTCTGAAGATGAGACAACACTAAATTCCCAAACTGTCATCACCACTGAGCAGCTTTTCAGTCAGCAGCTGTGACAGAAGAACAGCTAAACAACCTGGAATCAGCCAGAAATGAACCCAATACCATTCGCCAAACGTGTAGTCTGATCTTCAGAGTCTGACCGAATCGGACTGAGCCATAAAACTTACGCAATAAAAAACAAAAAAAGCTGCTCAGTGGTGATGACAGTTTGGGAATTTAGTGTAAAGAGCTGGAGAACGAACTGCCGGCTGTGCAGCGAGTGGGCGGAGCTTGTTACTCTGACGTAGCAATAAGCTGCTTGTTAAGGAGCTATAATTTGGCGGAAGGATCTGCGAACATTAAAACATATTAAACGCCGCGTTCACGGCCCAGTTTATTAATTTATTACTTTATTTATTTAACTGTTGTATAAAAGCAAAAGAACACTCGAGGAGTGTGTTATCGCTATAACATCATGGCTGTGATGATCTACGGCGACCAAATCACAGCCGTGATGTTATTTTGCGATAACACACTCCCTCTCGGGTTCTATAGCTTAATTACAGAAGAGCACTAAGTGGTCTTATTCTGGCAAAGAAAAAATGTAAAACTGCCAAAGTGCTATAATTTTCTGGATGATTATATATTAATTTATTTGTTTGTTGGTTTACTATTTGTGTTAAAGATGTTATTTCTTATGTACAGTGGTATCATAATAAGAAATTTTATCACTATGCTCACTATAAAAACATTTATATTTAATATGTTTTACTATCTCGCTCATATTAATTGAGGCTGTGAATAATCCTGGAAGGCACTGCAACAGAACACGTCTAAAGCCGTTTTAAAAATTCTTTTCTGTTTTTTTACTTACATATAATTGTGTGTAGTCTCTTCCAAAGTAGGAGAACGGCTGGGTGAGCTGGACCAGTGTATTACCTCCATCATAGGTAACAGCACGGACAGCACCAGGTAGAACCGGGAAGAACAGCCTGAATGGAACTGGAAGAATGTTCGGAATCATTCTGTCATTATTCTTTTTGTTTTACTGGCAATAACAGTGCAAATCTATATATAGGCCCCACCAAAAGTATTGGGACAGATATAAAAGATCTGATAAGAAACATATCCATATTCATTTACTGAACTTTTCTATTTGTAAAATAACAAAAAAAATAATGTAAAATGAAAGAGGCTGAAGACACTTCTGAGATTATGAAATATGACATACTGGCCCACATTATGGCATCTTAACTGCCATGTTATGCGTACAACTGCACATTAAGTGAAAGATAGAATAACAGTAAATTCACTAGAGACTGTACCGTTAACTTCGAAAGCCCAGCGACCAGGCATTCCGACGTTAGTGGTTCTACGCAGGTCAGAGGTACTGGCTGCCTGAATGGTGAAACGATTGCCGTTGTTTGCCGTCATGTAGCCAGCCTAGAAAGAATCATTTAAATAAACTTAGATTACATAGTTATAACCATTACATGTGGCTTACTTGTCTTGGAATGTTATGAAGCACCATAACATTATTAAAAACAAGAATGAACTTGCTCCTCTCACCATCCAGGACTCTGGATCAGCAGGCATGTTCCCATAGTTCATCAGGACATAAGAGCTGTCATCCTCACCAGAGATCAAGACTACTTGGAAAGTCACCTCCTTCAAGAGGAGAAAGATGTTAAAAGTTGTCAGCTTCAATGCAGACACTGAATTTTAAGGACAGACACTTACCCCGACATCAGGTTCGAATTCCACCTTATCCCAGGTGCCGACGAAGACCCAGGAAGCTGTGAAGTCTGACTTTTGGAAATAACGCCTAACTGCGTATGTGGCCAGCTGGAGAAGAGGACCGCTTGTGGCTTGCTTGTAGGTGATATTTCCTCTGGAGTAGGTGTCAATGTCGGTCCACAGTGGGGCGATCATGTCTTTGTTTGTCAGTGAGTAGTAGCCATCACTGTAGATGTACTCAAAAGACAGGAAACCATCCATACCGAACTGAGAGAGAAATAATTACAAATATTGAGTCACTATAAAAGTCTTCTCAGACTGCATGAAAGCTCAGACTGCTGATGTTTTGAAAGAAAAAAAAAGTTCTGGTTATTATTTGTAATTTATAGATTCTTACTGACTATAGCTTGTAGCTTTCAGAGTTTTTTGTAGTTGCTTAATAGTTAGATTTTTAAATGTTTTTAAATCAGTTAACGTATATCACTTCACAGAAAAAAGCCTTGATAAAATATTTTCTCACCTATACTTCCTAAAATGGTCTGAAACCAGTTATTTGTAAACATGTGAAGGATTTGACGATGAAGAAAAATTTCACACTCATGAACGCACAAATGTAAGAAATTGAAGTTTGGGTCTTTTATCTAGTCCAGCTTCTGTGGTCCAATACACCAAATTGTCATCTGTGGAGCAAAACCTTTATCTCAAATACTGTAACTTAACAGGAGAAGGGAAAACAACTAACAAGTAATTTTGAATGGAAGTTCATGTAAAAAGATGTTACGGTTCCACTTTATATTCAGTGTCTCTAATAACTGTGTAGTTATGCATGAATAACATATGCAACAACACTGTAACTACTGATGTTTTAGTCAATGTTACAGATGGATTACAGAAGTACAGCCTATGTAATTAAACGCCTACCAACTTCAGTTTTGCTTAATGTAATTACACAAGTGTATCTTCTACAGAGGAACTTTCCTGTAGTGTTAAAGTTACACTTTAAAGTGGACAGTTCCTGTGTAATTGTTATGTAGTTACTGTGTAATAATGTAGTGGTAATATAGACATTTCTTTGGGTTTAATGCAACATGTTTAATTAATGTCATAACAGTTACATGGTAAGGGGACTCTACTGTCACATATACATACGGAATGGTTTAAAGTGGAAACTGGTTACAGTGTCAGCACTCGCAACATAAATGCTAGCTAAATGTTAGGAAAGCTGGCAGATACAGTGTAAGTAACTTCCTTTTACTGCTGGAAAAAAAACGTTTTGAAAAAACTGCTGTTTTTTGTTGTTCCAGTCTGATTACAAATGTAATTGCATTAATGTTGTTACCCTTGTGTAATTACATGAGAGAATAGGCTGTTACAACTATCAAGATACACTTGTGTAATTACATGAGGCAAAGCTGAAGTTGATATGCATGTATAATTACATAAGGTGAACTTCTGTGATCCATCTGTAACCGTGACTAAGTCATTAGTAGTTACATTGTTGTTGCATATGTTGTTCACATGTAACTACACAGTTATTAGAGACACAATATATGGTGGAACCGATTTTATTCCAAGCATTTTGGAGCATTTCTTTGGCCTGGTAATGAAGATTTTTAACACAAGTTAAAGAGCAGCTGCCATTTTAAAATCATGTTAAAAAAGGACAAAAATGCAGATATGAGATGTCGTCCTGGCATTAATGAAATATAGAGCTTTATGGTAACAAATACCAGCAATAGATGTGTACATGCAGAACAGAACTCTCCCCATTTTTAAATGTGGTGGTGAGTTTGTGATGCTGGGGGGTTGTTTAGCTTCCAAAGGCTTCTGAGAAAGCATGGAAATACAGTATGGAGCAGGTATTATTTGGACGGTGGATCATTTTTAGCACTGCAGAGACACTGACAAGGTGGTGCCTTGTTAGTGTGTTGCGCTGATGCGAGTTGATCAGACACAGCAGTGCTGCTGGAGTTTTAAACACTGTCCACTCACTGTCCACCCTACTGTCACTGCCTTGTTGGTCCACCTTGTAGAAGTAATGTCAGAGATGGTAGCTCATCTGCTGCTGCACAGTTTGTGTTGGTCATCCTCTAGTCCTTTATCAGTGGTCACAGGATGCTGTCCACAGGACGCTGTTGGCTGGATATTTCTGGTTCTCAGTCCAGCAGTGATACTGAGGTGTTTAAAAACTCCAGCAGCACTGCTGTGTCTGATCCACTTGCACCAGCGCAACACACACTAACACACCACCACCAAGTCAGCGTCACTGCAGTGCTGAGAATGATCCACCACCCAAATAATACCTGCTCTGTGGTGGTCCTGATCATTGAAGAACATGCTCCTATAAGGTAACTGATAAAATGACCAATAAAGGTAGATACAAGGTCAGTGTATGCATATGCTGCTATATTTGAGTATATTCCACCTTTTTGCTAACAGTCTGGCACTGTACCACACAAAGAAAGGGGCTGCTTATGCACCCTAAAAAATCTGCAGCAAGGCAGATTTATAAATGCTGTGTTGTTAGCCCACAGTAATCAACCTGAAATGCTACTGGTCCATCAGTTTAGACCAATACCCACTCCAGCCTTGTCTGAGGCTGTGAATAATCCAGGAAGGCACCATAAAAGAATACATCTTTAAATTCTGTTCTGTTCTTTTACTCACATATAATTGTGTGTGAGATGATCCAAAGTAGGTGAATGGCCGGTCAAGCTGGACCAAAATAGAATCTCCATCATAGAAAGGAAGACGACTAGCAAAAGGCATAATGGGAAACATCGTAGTTGGAACTGGAAGAAAGATGAGAATCATCACTGTTAATAACACTGTAATAGCACCCTCTAAGTATGAGCACAGTAAAATTTCATTTTTCTTCATGTTTACTAAATTAGTGAGCCAAAATCAGAGACTGTCTCGTTTTATGAGTATTTATTTTAAACATGTTTATTTGTTCTGGAATTATTCCACTTTTTCTATCCAGACCCCACCTAATTCTTAAAATGAGTAACTGTGGACATTGGCCAGTGGGCAAAGTACAGTTAAATGCCTTAAAATAATTAAATGCATAAAAAAGTATACTGAATGTTACTAGAGATATTTAAGAAAAACCCTAAAGCATCACATTAGCCTGTCTGCTGTGGCCCGTCAGTGAAGCAATTCAGCAGCACTTGCCCTTATCAGAATTATTTTCTCTGTGTTTGATATTTGTTGTTTGTCCTGTAGCACCAATTGGTGATCCATCTGGGACCAAGTGATGACCCCCACCGAGCTCCTGACCCCCAGGTTAACTCCTGTTCTACACCTTACAAAGTATCATAGTTCTTGAAAAATGGTTTAAGAAGGTGCATCAGTGCAAAGACAAAATAAAAAGAAATTTACCAAATGCTGGCCCGGCAACTTGGAAAACCCAGCGACCAGGTATTCCAACATTAGTACTTGTAGACAGGCTACCTAGGGGTACCTGAATGGTCATGTTTTGGTAGTCCTCCTGTGTCTGAAGGCCAGCCTATAAAGAAACATTTAAATTAACGTCATTTAAATTCACATTGCAGATACAATTACATTTATCTACTTCATCTTGGAATGGGGGAATAATAAATTTAGTGAGTAAACACATGCATGAACTTGCTCCTCTTACCATCCAGGGTTCTGAATTAGCAGCTGGAATGGGACCATAGTTCATCAGAATGAAAGCGCGGCCTTGAACATCTGAGACCAAGACTACTTGGAAAGTCACCTCCTTCAAGAGAAGAATGATCAATGTTAAAAATTGATGGCATATAGGCAGTGACTGAATTCTAAGGACAGGCACTTACTCCTGTATCAGGCTCGAATTCCATCTTCTCCCAGGTGGCCACAAAGACCCAGGAAGCAGTGAAACCAGGGAACATCCGGTTCATTTCATTTACAACTGTCTGCAGAAGAGGACCGCTTGTGGCTTGCTCGAAGGAGATGTTTCCTCTGGTGTACATGTCAAGGTCGGTCCACAGTGGAGCGATGATATCAATGTTCGAAAGTTGGACGAAGGTGTCATAGAAGAGGGGCGTGAAAGAGAGGAAGCCGTCCATACTGAGCTGAAAGAGAAATAGAAAAGAATTTCTGAATACTGAAGTTACTCTGAACACTGTGTAAAAGCTCGTTCAGTAGAACAGAAACTGTTGTAGAGCATCTCTTTTCATATAAGTTCTGCTCAGTGGTGGTGAAACAGTCTCAGCACTGCAGTGACACTGATAAGTATGCAAGGTAGTGCACCGGCTAATCTAGCTGAAGTGGTCACCTAGTCTAGCTGAAGTTTTAGTAAATTACAGATCACATTTCTTTAAAACATCCTAAAACTTTCTCTTGATTAGCTATCATGTTAGCTAGCAAGTGCACTTCTTAGACATATTGCAGATGTAAATATTTACTGTAAGTAGCACTTCAGTTCTGTCCTTCAGACTCTCAAGTTTTCCTTTAATGAAAGAATCAAATCTGTGTCAAACCTGACAGATGTGTAGTTTAGAAACTTGAGACTTGGACTTCAGAGAATTGAGACTGGTGTCAGAGTCTCCTTGCAGACTTGAGACTCAACTCAGACTCGCATTTCAAAGACCTGAAACTCTGACTCACATGAAGTGATTTGTGTAAATCCCTAGTAGGGGCTACTGGTTAACAGAAGACAGCCAAGCTATGGACATTGCCTCTTTCTGTCTGAGGTCATTGTGAATGATGGACATCATCTGTCAAGAACAGCTCTTCATCTAGGATCAGCATTGTTTTCTCACGTCCCTAACAGATGACCTGCTGCAAGAACAGAGGACAGGCACTGCAAGGCCTCTCATGAACTGCAAGGACTGACCTCTTGGCTCTATTCTGAATGTCAAGTGACTTGTGTAAATCTTTAGTAGGGGCCACTGGTGAACTGAAAACAGCCAAGCTGTAGATGTTGCCTATTTCTGTCTGAGGTTGTTGTAAATGATGGAGATCATTTAGGACTTCTTAGAGACTCGCGTCGAGAACAGCTCTTCATCCAGGAGCAGCATAGTTTCCCTAACTAAGGACCTGCAGTGTGAACAGAATGCCACCGCTGTCAGCCTGCCCACAGATTGCAAGGACTACAGAAACTGTCCACGTGGTTCTATTCTGAATATCAGGGTTTCCACCCGTGAAGGATCGATTGGGTAGGATCAGTTAGGTAAGAACCTCCCTGTTCTCTGGCTGGAAGCCATGGTTGTTTTCTTGTGATTGTCAACCTAACAATGAAATATTTGTGATGTTAAGAAGAGCTATGTTCTGTGTCATTCTTACATCATTCTTACGAGACTAAAACGTATGGAAAAGAAGCATTGGGAGCAGATGATGTCTATGTCCATCATATATCTTTTGAAATATATATTTAAATAACACATATAAACATTTCTATTACTTTGCTCATATTAATCCAGGATGCAAAAGCTTTGAAAAACATTTAATAGAATACATATTTAAACATTCTGCTTTGTTGTTTTACTTACATATAACTGGTTGTACACTCTACTGAAGTAGCGAAGTGGCTGGTTCAGCTGGATCTGTCTGTAATTTCCATCACCGGTAACAGCATGTGAAACGACGGCAGGTCCATGTGGGAAGAGTGTCCAAGATGAACCTGGAAGAAAATTGCAAAGTTATGTCATCATTTTATTTATTACGGAGTTGCAGAGGGAAGTGAGCAAGAATACGAGATGGACGAGCAGCAGCAAAAACAGAATGATGAGTGGAAATAAGTATATAGAAACATATAATATTTTTACTCTTGATTCAGTAATGCTACTTCTTTCAATTTTAACAGAAAAAAACGGTAACGCTTTCTATGAATGTCACCTTTGTAAACATCTATAAACACATTCATAACATGTTATAATGCATTTATAAGGCATCATAAACATGGCTATAAATATTTATAAAAATGCATTACATGTTATAGCCATGCTTATTATGCATTATGAATTGTTAACATAATGCATTATAAGTACTGTTCATAACAAATTCTAAGAGTTCATAAGTTGTATTTGTCTGCTCTAAGTAAAGTGAGGCATACTGTACTAAACCCTCCTCCAGTGTTTACTGAAAGAATTTACTGAAACACTAAAACATACACAATAAAACGCATTACAAGCTTCAAATGTCAGATATTAAACTAGCTAACTCACTAACTTACCACTGCATATCCAATAGAATGCTAGCAGAAATTAGCATTACTGTACTGTAGTGTAGTGTAAGAGAGTGAAGGGTTCTAGTGCTTGACATTAGAACCAGTGAGGGAACAAATTACAATGACAGCACTCTACTATCTCGCCTCATTACTATTAACATTACTTATAATGCATTATATTCACAATTCATAACGTATAATAAATATGGCTATGAAGTGTAATTCAGTGTAATTAATTTTTATAAATATGTATAACTTATAAGACTTATGAATGCATTATAACATGTTATGAATGCGTTTATAGATGCTTACAAACATGACATTCAAGAAGTTTAAAAAGTTTAAATATAATGTACTGTGTGTAAAAATGTACTGTTTCCCCTCAAATGTAGTCTACAGAATTAGGAAAGCTATGCCACAAGACTAAAATCTCCCATCTGCACAAAAAACACCAAAAGACCAAACGATGTTTGTCAAATATGATGAAAAATGAGTCTTCAGAGTTTCATATCACATTTTTTTGAGCAGATAAAACTCAAATTTTAGAAAGGTGAACGTGTGGGAAAAGGAAAATGCTAATGATTCAGTGCAAATCACCTCATCTGTGAAAGGTGGTACAAATATGGGGGTGACCTCTGGAAAAGTTGCTCTAACCTCTATTGATGGTATAAATAAACAGTTTTAGATTCAGCAATTTCTGTTAATCTAATAATCAGCAAACAAGATTGGCAATTGATGTTGATGTTTGTGTTTTCATTAATGCTGAATTACAGTTTAATTACAGTTTTTAGAAACTTTTTCTTAACACCGCAGTTTTTGTGGAGATTTTAATGTTCATCAATGTTTTCTTATATAGATTTTGTTCTTAGGGAAAAACAGAAATTTCTTTCTAGGAAAGTAGCATAATGTTACACTTCCAGAGCCTGGGTTCTTAATCAAGCCTGGATCATCCTATGGGTTAGATGGGTGTGCGCCCAAGGTCCACTCACGAGCAATTATGACAAAATTTAAACCAATGTCTTTGCTCACGTCGGGAACTTTACTAGCGGTACAAGCAAAAAAATTAACTATTTAGGCCTTGTCGTTGTGTGATCTAGAAACGGTCTTCTTCCGTGCACAAAGTAATCAAAGGTAAGACTTGCGTGAAAAAAATCCTTTGCCCTTTGTAGCAATACACTTTAGCTTAGGTTACTTAACAGTTTGGTTTTTAAGTTTGCCGTTTTTTTCTTCTGTCTATGTTAGCTGTCCAATTTTAATTGATGCATTACAAGTAAGTGTTGATCATTGTTGACCTTCACTCAGTATTGAGCTTACATGTGTTCCGTGTTAATGCATTATGTTAATGCGCTATGAGTTGCCAGTGGAGCTACGAGCCACTCTCTCAGACTTCGACTCTCTCTTCTAAATTCCCTTTGGCTGTCTGCCTGCTCCTTCTGCAGACACGGTCCAGTTTATTTCCTACAGAAATCTGTTTTCATCGTACCTGCTGTTCTCTCTCCCTGCCCAGTTCCATCGCTTGCATTATGGCTGCAACACCTGAACCCTCAAGGGCTCACGCTGCTCTGTTCCTGCCCTTGCTCTCTGCGAGCCTTGTCCAAATTGCACTCTTGCCTGGGCCGCAACCATGCACCAGTGCACCCTGATCTTTCTCTCTCTCTCTCTCTCTCTCGCTCACCCTTTTTCATCATGCGTCCACCCCCGCACCTTTAATCCCTCTACCTCAGGCCTCCATCCCATCTTAGTTCCATCCCATCTAAGCTATATGTCAACCCTGCTCCATCTCAACAAACATCTCAGAACAGCTCCTGCAACCCAGCTCTGCAATTCCTTTTTTAAATTACATGGCTCCATGTCAAGTTCATGGAAATTACTTCATCATCCAGTAGCCTCTGTAATCAAGCCCATCAACTGCCATGTGGACCAACTACCTTCTATCAGCCATTTCTGCTCTGTGTTCATTTCATTCAGAAGGATATAATCAGCTTTATGCTCATGCAACCCCTTCGCCTGCCATGTTTAACACAATCTTCACAATCCGGTGTCGACCAGTGTCGAGTCCTGGTTCTTCTCAAGGTTTCTTCCTCTCTGGGACTTTTACTTGCCACTGTCACCCTTGGCTTGCTCATAAGGAGTTCAGATCCAGATATCTGTAAAGCAGCATGCTACCATGTCACACACGTCATGTCTGCCTTTGCCAAACTTCTCTTCCTAACCATACTAAGCCTCAGATACCCAAATGCTAGACTGTCCGACCAACCTGATTCTGAATCCATTTCCTCCATATTCCATTGGCAAAGTCATAACAAGTTCCCTACCCAAGCAGCTACAGTTTCTGTCACTTCAGAATCAGCTCTTGAAAAACTTTCATTTCTGGATATCTGTCCTTCTCATCTTGTAAATATCACTCAGTCCCAGACCTCAGTAGTTTAATGTTCATCCTGGAGTTTTATTGGGGTCTGGCCTTCCAGCTGCAGAAACTGCCCAGAACTTCAGCCCAAGTTCTCAGGGCCCTGCTCCCTCCCTCCCTCATTCAATCTTCCCTAATACGACCACCACATGTTGAAGGCATGATCTGAACTCACAAAATAGTTATGTTATTTCTGAAGTCTTGGGAGAGGAACATGCCTGAAACCCCTCCTTCTTCCAATCTAACACCCTATAAATTCACATCCTCACCTTCCGTTCCCATGATGAAGTGTTTGCAATCCCCACCACCACCCCATCTCCTCCTTGTTCCTCAATCGTACATCAGTCCTACTTCAGCTATTGGGGGGGCGGGGCCTGGCCTTCTAGCTACAGGCAGGAGCTGCTCAAAACTCCAGCCCAAGTTCTCAGAGTTCTCAGAGACTTTCAATCAAAGACAAAATAACAAGAAATTTACCAAATGTTGGACCGGCAACTTGGAAAGCCCAGCGACCAGGTATTCCAACATTAGTACTTGTAGAAAGGCCACTGAGAGGTATCTGAATGGTGAAATTTTGGTAGTTCTCCTGTGTCTGAAGGCCAGCCTATAAAGAGAAACATTTAAATAAACTTAACATCATAATAAATACAATTACATTTAGCTATCTCATCTTTGAATGTAGCATCATAAAATTAACTTGAGCTTGCTTCTCTTACCTTCCAGGGTTCTGAATTGACAGCTGGAATGGGACCATAGTTCATCAGAATGAAAATGTGGCCTTGAACATCTGAGACCAAGACTACTTGGAAAGTCACCTCCTTCAAGAGAAGAATGATCAATGTTAAAAATTGATGGCATACAGGCTGTGACTGAATTCTAAGGACAGGCACTTACTCCTGTATCAGGCTCGAATTCCATCTTCTCCCACGTGGCCACAAAGACCCAGGAAGCAGTGAAACCAGGGAACATCCGGTTCATTTCGTTTGTGGCTGTCTGCAGAAGAGGACCGCTTGTGGCTTGCTCATAGGAGACTTCTCCTCTGGTGTACATGTCAAGATCGGTCCACAGTGGAGCGATGATATCAATGTTCGAAAGTTGGACATAGGTGTCATAGGAGAGGGATGTGAAAGAAAGGAAGCCGTCCATGCTGAGCTGAAAGAGAAAAAAATTGAATTCTGTAGTTGCTCTGAACACTGTGTGAAAGCTCATTCAGCAGCACAGAAACTGTTGCAGAGCATCTCTTTTGAAATTAGCTCTGCTCAGTGGTGGTGAGACAATCTCAGCACTGCAGTGAAGTGCACCGGCTAATTTAGCACAGTTGTCACCTAGTCTAGGCTCATGTTTTAGTAAGTTACAGATCACATTTCTTTAAAATGTCTTAAAACGTTGGCTTGATTACCTATTATGCTACAAACTATAGACTTTCTTTTAACACATTTACTGTGAGTAGCACTTCAGTTCTGTCCTTCAAACTGCAAGTTTTTCTTTAATGAAAGAATCAAATCTGTGTCAAACCTGACAGATGTTTAGTTTAGAAACTTGAGACTTGCACCTCAGAGAATCGGTCTCAGAGTCTCCTTGCAGACTCGAGACTCAAATCAGATTCGCATTTCAAAGACCTAAAACTGGGATTCGCATGAAGTGATTTGTGTAAAACCCTAGTAGGGGCTACTGGTAAATGGAAAACAACCAAGCTATAGACATTGCCTCTTTCTATGTGATGTTGTGAATGATGGACATCATCCGTCAAGAACAGCTCTTCATCTAGGATCAGCATTGTTTCTCATGTCCCTAACAGATGACCTGCTGCAAGAACAGAAGACAGCTACTGCCAGGCTTCCCACAAACTGCAGAGACTTTAAGGACTGACCTCTTGGCTCTATTCTGAATATCAGGGGTTCCACCAGTGAGTGATCTGATTTCATGTGAACGAATCTCTCTCTTCCTGACTTTCCTTGTGATTGTCAACCTATCAGTGAAATCTATGGAATGGCAGCATTGGGACACTTTTGCCTGAGCAGATGATGTCTATGGCTGTCATATGTCTTTCACAATAAATATTTAAATAATACAAATCAGCATTTTATTGTTTTGCTTAGATTAATCTACAGTGCAAAAAAGACATTTAACAGAATACATATTTAAACATTTTGCTCTGTTGTGTTACTCACATATAACTGGTTGTACATTCTACTGAAGTACTGTAGTGGCTGGCTCAGCTGAATCATTGTGTAGCCTCCATCACCGGTAACAGCACGTGGAACGACACCAGGTCCAGGAGGAAAGAGCGGCCAAGATAGACCTGGTCAAATGACAGAACATTGGGCCTCAAATACTAACCATTCTTAAGAAAAAAAAAACTTATCAGACTCTACACACACTCAATAGCACAAAGGCGCGAACAGTTCTGAGGTATAAGAACACATCATGAATCTGACGTAGACTTTTCTTAGGACTTTTCTCGAGAACAAATGTGAGAGTATACATATGCATATATACACTATATTGCCAAAAGTATTCGCTCGTCTGCCTTCACACGCATATAAACTTGAGTGACATCCCATTCTTAATCCATAGGGTTTAATATGATGTCAGCCCACCTTTTGCAGCTATAACAGCTTTCCACAAGCTTTCCACAACAGCTTCAACTCTTCTGGGAAGGCTTTCCACAAGGTTTAGGAGTGTGTTTATGGGAAATTTTGACCATTCTTCCAGAAACGCATTTGTAAGGTCAGACACTGATGTTGGACGAGAAGGCCTGGCTCGCAGTCTCCGCTCTAATTCATCCCAAAGGTGTTCTGTCGGGTTGAGGTCAGGACTCTGTGCAGGCCAGTCAAGTTCTTCCACTCCAAACTCGCTCATCCATGTTTTTATGGACCTTGCTTTGTGCACTGGTGTGCAGTCATGTTGGAACTGGAAGGGGCCATCCCCAAATTGTTCCCACAAAGTTGTAAGTATAACATATAAATACCTTTTTGAGAAGGGTTTTATATACCACCAAAGCGGGTCACAAGCTTGACCTTGTAACAACAGAAGAACACATTTTGGTGCTATATGGAACCCGTTTTGAAAAAATTCTATATACCATCAGCAGCACATTCTCCATCAGTCTGAAGAACCCTTTTACAATACAAAGAACCCTTTAATCATGCAAAGAATTTCATGGTTTTTATAGAACCATTTTCTTTAATAAAGAAGCCTTAAAGAGTCATCTTTTTTTTAAGAGTGTAGCTCTAGATAATACACTTGAATTGATGACAATTTGATGTATTTTCGTTTAAATTACTTCGGCAATGCATATGGCCCACAAACTGCACGCTTAGGCAGAGTTTATGCTAGTATAGTTCAAAAAAATCAAACGCTTTCCTGGACAGGTAGGACTCTTTCAGTGACTATGCCCCGCAAAGCTGTTACAACTATCTAATTGTACCTATTACACTAGGGGGAATATTCGACAATGAAAAATGACAAGTTCATCAAAACTACTGAAGCCAGGCAATAGAGTTTCGCTTATATTTCAAAGACAGATAAAACTGTAGCAGACGATTAAATAAAATGGAAGAGAAAAATCTAAATATGTTTCTGCTGATTCAAAGCTTGTCACCGCATCTGTTAAACACTCTGGAATTGGATCTTTTAATTGAACTGATTGTGTAACTAAAGATGTCAGATTCAGACTTTCGCTTTAACATGTTCATCTTTTCATTTGTAACCAAATTTTGACCTACTGTCCCAATATTTATGGAGGATGCTGTATGCATGTGTTTTAAAATAAATATAAAGGAATGATGGAATATAATCTTTATTCTGATCAAATTTTCATATAGATTTTGTCAACTTGCCTTCGTTGATGGTCATCACTTGGCCTAGTTTTAGAGAGAGAATCACAGAGTCAGAACAAATGAACCATAAATTACTGATTCAGCACATCCTTATAAATGTATTTTATATTTATAATCTTCAGTACTCTCCAAAATATTGAATAGTATGCAAATGTTTGTAAAGACCAAATGAATGATGTAATATGATCTTTATTCAGATATATACATCAAGTTACCTGTAGTAGATGTTGTTGTCAGGTCTTAATTTCAGAGAAAGGAACAAAGAGTCAGAATTAGAAAAGCATAAATTACTGATTCATCTCCACATCCTCGTACATATATGCTTCATATTTATAACCTTCAGTACCCTTAAAATGTTGAACAGTACAAGTGTTTGTAAATAAAGACCAAATGAATGATGTCATATGATCTTTTCCTTATTCGAATATATACATCAAGTTACCTGGAGTAGATGTTGTTGTCAGCTCTTAATTTCAGAGAGAGGAACGAAGAGTCAGAATAGAAAAGCATATATTACTGATTCACTTCCACATCCTTGTACATATACTGAATGCTTCATATTTATAATCTTCAGTACCTTCAAAATTTTGAACAGTACACAAGTGTTTGTAAATCAAGACCAAATGAATGATGTAATGTGATCTTTTCTTTATTTAAATTTGTACACAAGAACTTACCTTCATTAGTTGTCATGGCCACAGCTAATTTCAGAGAGAGAGAGGAGCAGTCAGAACTAATTAACCACAAATTACTTACTCACCTCCCTGTTCTTGTAAACATCTGCCTGATATTAATAAGCTTCATCAGCCTCCGGATTTTTAATTTTATGAAAATATGGCTGATTGAACATTGTTTTAATGCGATCGGCTGGTGATAGTTTCTCAGCACAAAATCCTCAGTCCACCATATTCATCATCTGCTTAACAGGATTACAGTATTCGTCTGCTGCACCAGAACAGATTCACTTAATCAGCTAATAATTAAAAGGCAGATTAAGAGCTTACACTTGAGAAACTTGAGAGTTTATTTGTAAACATACATGAAATCATTAAAAAAGTAAGAACAAACTATAAAACATGAATGTTTAGAACAAAAAGGCAGATCCAATAAAGTTGTCTTCTCTTGCAAACACTATTTTGGTGTTGAAAAATGACTTGTAATTTACTGAATACGCCTCTTAGGGAACACAATAAGATCAAAGGAGCAGTTGCTACTATTTTTTATTTCTGCCTCACTGCAGATGCATTTATTGGTGTTTCCCTTTCAAAGCATAAAATGCAATGAGATGATTATAATTTAGCATCTATATTAACTAAACAAAGCTGAGATTTTAAAAAGGCTGGTAAACACGTTTATGTTTATGTGCTCTATTTAACATCTGAAACGACTGATGTATTTTTGGCACCAACAAAATTGCTTTTAGAGATGCATGTCAAACAAAATATAAACCTATTTCTGTCAGGTGAAAAGTCCATTTTGTTTTGTCTGGTTTCTGGCAGCTGTATGTCAAATTTTGTCTCACGATTGACCTCTTAAAATTTAGCATTATTATGACTAATTAATGTCATGCCATCAATATTTTTCAGCAAAGTATGTTGAAACAATAACTTACTTTCTCAAAATTTTAATCTCAAAATGTCATTTTGTTACAAAATAAGTCAATGTTCTGACTTACTGAGTCAAATGTTATAGAAAATGTCATTATCTGGAGAAGAAAAGTCAAATGTTCCAAATAAAAATATGGACATACTGCCGGCAGAAATACAGATGGACAAACAATTACAAACAAACAATGATTCTTTTTCTAATTCTGCATCCATACCAAAAAGAATATGAGCAAAACAGGGGTTTATATTGCGCTGGTCATATGTTCCCTTCCTGGATCGGGGCCATGTTGTGGAGGAAGGGCTTGTGTGATCAAGGGATCTTCAGAGCTACGTCGTCTGGAGCAGTATGCTCCTGGTACGATCTCCCAGTGTGAACAGGTCTGGAGTGAAGCCCCAGACTAACTCAATCCAAAATTCTCCATGACTAAGGGACACAAAAGACAGTGCCCAGGAGAGGGTTACTGGGACCTACCCCGGGAGCCAGGCCTGGGGTAGTGTTCCTCGGTGAGCGCCTGGTGGCTCAGCCCAAAAAAGCAATGTGGGGGGGGACCATGTAGGCCACGTACAGCCTTCCCCATCTGCCTCTGACACATCCCTCCAATTTATTAGGCTTGCCCTTCCTGACAAGTACAGCGGATCCCCTGGCCTGTGTAAGGGATTTTTCAATGCAGTGCTTGAATTTTTTTGTGCCCCTGCTGCTTTTCCCACAGAATTAACTAAGATGGGCTTTGTCATGTCCCTGTTCACAGGTAAAGCTCTCTCCTGGACCACGGCTATGTGGTGAGCCCGTGTACCCAATTCTTCCACGTACTCAGATTTTGAACGTGTATATAGAGAGGTTTTTGATTGCATTAAACTATGTCTGTCAACTTACCTAGTTCAGCTGTCGTGGCTACCAAGTCCAATTTTAGAGAGAGGGAGAGAGAGAGGGAGAGAGAGTAACAATAAGAGACAGAACCATGTAAACATTACTGGCTCATTTCCACATCCTTACAAATATATATAACCCTTTTTGTTGCTCTATAGAACTACTTTCAAAATGCTCATCAGTCTGAAGAACCACCCTTACGAAAAACCATTTAAGCATGCAGTTGCTTCGAGTGTTTATGGTTCTAAATAGAACCATTGTCTGTAATAAAGAACCTTTGAAGAACCATCTTTTGTAAGAGTGTAGTCACCTCAAGAGTTTGCAACATGCGTTGTTTTACACAGGAATCAAACTTGGAATACATTATTCATTAAGTGAGATTTGGGAGACTCTGCTTTAAAACAAGAATATGTCTGATGCAGATTCCTCTCGAGAGTGGAATTTGACAGTGGCATGCTGAATGCAGTAAATTATGTTTGTCAACTTACCTTCGTCTGTTGTGACTACCAAGTCCAATTTCAGAGAGACAGACAGACAGACAGAGAGAGAGAGAGAGAGAGAGAGTAACAAAAAGAGACAGAACAATGTAAACATTGCTGGCTCACTTCCATCTCCTTATAAATATATGCTTGATGTTTATACCCTTTAAAACCTTTCAAAAATATACACATTATTATGAATATTTGAATATCTGATCATTATTTTCTTTTTTAAAATCAGTAGGTGGTGTGTCTTTTGGAACAAAAGCTTTATGGATTACATTTGTCAGGTGTAATATCTGCCCTCGACACTAGAGGTCAGCCTCACCCGAGTTTTGAACTGTTTCTAGTAACACCTTCCTTTCATTCACCTGCAGCTCATCCATCTCCCTTTATAAGGAACCACAACATCACATGCTCTCTGTGAAGTATTGCCAGTTTGTCTGTGCACTAAACCTTCTATCTCCACGTTTCCTGGATTTATGGTTTTCTTGGACAGTCATCTTTACTCTTGGACTTTGCCTTTTGGACTCTCTTTGGTACTTTTGCTGGGTTTTGTGATCTATCTTGGGTTTTGACTATTGTGGGCTGTTTTCTCACTCTGCTTCTGGTTTTGTGGACTTTGATACTGTGTTTTTTGAGTAAATGGAAAAAAATGGATTCAAACATGTCTGGAGAGGCTTCATTACAGAACACTTCCCCACCCAGAATCCGGAAGGCCTGCTTGATCCCCAGGCTGCTGTTTTGGCCCAGGGACAACTACTGCACCTCAATACCACCCTCAGTGAAATGCTCCATGTGGTCCGTAGTCTTTAAGCCTTCCCCATCTACCTCTGGCACATCCCTCCTCTCTATTAGGCTGGCTCTTCCTGACAAATACAACAGGTCCCCTGGCCTGTGTAAGGGATTTTTCAATGCAGTGCTTGATTAATTTTTTTGTGCCCCTGCCGCTTTTCCCACAGATTCAACTAAGATGGCCTTTGTCATGTCCCTGCTCATGGGTAAAGCTCTCTCCTGGGCCACAGCTTTGTGGCAAGCCCAAGTACCCAATTCTTCCACATACTCAGACTTGCACATGTATATAGGGAGGTTGTTGATTACCCAGTTTACAGTAAAGATCCTGGAGAGCTTCTGCTACCTCTCAAACAAGGTTTCAAGACAGCAGCCGAGCATGCCTTGAACTTCTGTATGCTCACTGCAGAGACCGGATGGGATGAGAAATCATTAAAAACTGCCTACTGTTAAAGCCTCAATGAAGTTCTTCAGACAGAGCTTGTATGCAAGGATAGTGATAACATCTTTCCAATTTCATACAGTTGTCAATCACTTTGGATAATCTCATTCATTCCAGAGGCCGCCCTGCCTCTAGCTCCTCTCCTAGCCTTTCAATTGGTCATTCTACCTCCGAGCCTATGGAGATTGACCGGGTGCAACAATGCATGTGCAAAGGGCTTTTGCTTCTACTGTGGCCATCAAGGACACTTCAAAAGTGATCACCCCACTCTCCCTAAAAACCGCAGAAGGGTCAGTGAGACTTTATACTCTCCTATTGAAAGTTGCAAATTCACCCTACAAATAACACTAATTTGGGGCTCTTAACATCTCTCTCCCAGCGCTGATCGAGTCAGGAGCTGCCGGAAACTTTATTGTTTATTTAGTGGGTGGGTTTTAATAGACTCTGCTTTAAAACAGGAATATGTTTGATGCATATTCCCCTCGAGAGTGGCATTCGACAGTGTTACACTAAATGCATTAAACTATGTCTGTCAACTTACCTGGTTCAGCTGTCGTGGCTACCAAGTCCAATTTTAGAGAGACAGAGAAAGAAAGCGAGAGAGAGAGTAACAAAAAGAGACAGAACCATGTAAACATTACTGGCTCACTTCCACATCCTTACAAATATATATAACCCTTTTTGTTGCTCTATAGAACTACTTTCAAAAAGCTCATCAGTCTGAAGAACCACCCTTACGAAAAACCATTTAAGCATGCAGTTGCTTCGAGTGTTTATGGTTCTAAATAGAACCACTGTCTGTAATAAAGAACCTTTGAAGAACCGTCTTTTTTAAGAGTGTAGTCACCTCAAGAGTTTGCAACATGCATTGTTTTACACAGGAATCAAACTTGGAATACATTATTCATTAAGTGAGATTTGGGAGACTCTGCTTTAAAACAAGAATATGTCTGATGCAGATTCCTCTCGAGAGTGGAATTTGACAGTGGCACGCTGAATGCAGTAAACTATGTTTGTTAACTTACCTTCATCTGTTGTGACTACCAAGTCCAATTTCAGAGAGACAGACAGACAGAGAGAGAGAGAGAGAGAGAGAGAGAGTAACAAAAAGAGACAGAACAATGTAAACATTGCTGGCTCACTTCCATCTCCTTATAAATATATGCTTGATGTTTATACCCTTCAACACCTTTCAAAAATATACACATTATTATGAATATTTGAATATCTGATCATTATTTTCTTTTTTAAAATCAGTAGGTGGTGTGTCTTTTGGAACAAAAGCTTTATGGATTACATTTGTCAGGTGTAATATCTGCCCTCGACACTAGAGGTCAGCCTCACCTGAGTTTTGAACTGTTTCTAGTAACACCTTCCTTTCATTCACCTGCAGCTCATCCATCTCCCTTTATAAGGACCCACAACATCACATGCTCTCTGTCAAGTATTGCCAGTTTGTCTGTGCACTAAGCCTTGTATCTCCACGTTTCCTGGCCCAAGGACAACTATTGTGCTCTCACACTCAGCAACTACTGCACCTCAATACCACCCTCAATGAAATGCTCCATGTGGTCCGTAGACTTTAAGCCTTCCCCATCTACCTCTGGCACATCCCTCCTCTCTGTTAGGCTGGCCCTTCCTGACAAATACAACAGGTCCCCTGGCCTGTGTAAGGGATTTTTCAATGCATCATCATCATCATCATCATCATCTTTAACCGCTCAGTCCAGATAGGGTCGCGGTAGCAGTTGGGAGAGCAGAGAATCCCAGGTGACCCTGTCCCCCGCAACTTCCTCCAGCTCATTCCCGGGGACCCCAAGCCGCTCCCAGGCCAACTTGGAGATATAATCCCTCCAGCGGGTCCTAGGACGACCCCGGGGTCTTATTCCGGTAGGCCGTGCCTGGTACACCCCCACCGGGAGGCGTCCCGGGGGCATCCGGATCAGATGCCCGAACCACCTCAGCTGGCTCCTCTCAATGCGGAGGAGTAGCGGCTCTACTCCGAGCTCCTCCCGGATGGCCGAGCTCCTCACCCTATCAAATAGAGTGTAGCCCGCCACCCTGCGAAGAAAGCTCATTTCTGCCGCTTGTATTCGCAATCTCATTCTTTCGGTCATTACCCACAGCTCATGACCATAGGTGAGGGTCGGGATGTAGACCGATCGGTAAACAGAGAGCTTCGCCTTACGGCTCAGCTCCCTCTTCACCACTACAGTCCGGTACAGCGACCGCATTACTGCTGCCGCTTGTCCCAGCCTGCGGTCGATCTCACGATCCTTCTTCCCGTCACTCGTGAACAAGACCCCGAGATACTTAAACTCCTCCACCTGGGGCAAGTCCTTTCCCCCTATCTGGAGTGGGCATACCATCCTTTTCCGGGCTAAGACCATGGACTCAGACTTGGAGGTGCTGATCCGCATACCAACCGCTTCACACTCAGCTGCAAACCACTCCAGTGTGCGCTGGAGGCATCCATGTGATCCAGCCAAAAGAACAACATCATCTGCAAATAGCAGAGACGCCACCCTCCGGCCTCCACACATAATGCCCTCCTGACCCCGGCTACGCCTTGACACCCTGTCTATGAATATCACAAACAGGAGTGGAGACAGGGCACAACCCTGGCGGAGTCCAACGCTAACACTGAAAGAGTCCGACTTAATGCCGAGTATACGAACACAGCTCTCACTCCGGGCGTACAGAGATTGAATGGCCCGGAGTAGTAACCCCGGCACCCCATACTCCCGGAGGACCTCCCACAAGATATCTCGGGGAACACGGTCGTAAGCCTTCTCCAAATCCACAAAACACATGTAGACTGGGTTAGCAAACTCCCATGCCCCCTCAACAATCCGTGAGAGGGTGAAAAGCTGGTCCATTGTTCCACGGCCAGGACGGAATCCACATTGTTCCTCCTCAATCTGAGGTTCAACTATCGGCCGAAGTCTCCTTTCCAGCACCTTGGCATAGACTTTCCCAGGGAGGCTGAGCAGTGTGATACCCCGATAGTTGGCACACACCCTCCGGTCCCCTTTCTTGAAAATAGGGACCACCACCCCGGTCTGCCAGTCCAAGGGTACTGTTCCCGAGGTCCATGCACTATTGCAGAGGCGTGTCAGCCACGACAGCCCCACAATATCCAGAGCCTTAAGCATCTCCGGACGAATCTCATCCACCCCCGGTGCCTTGCCACTGAAGAGCTTGCCAACTTTTCAATGCAGTGCTTGATTAATTTTTTTGTGCCTCTGCTGCTTTTCCCACAGATTCAACTAAGATGGCTTTTTTCATGTCCCTGCTCATGGGTAAAGCTCTCTCCTGGGCCACAGCTTTGTGGCAAGCCCAAGTACTTTGCTTCTACTGTGGCCATCAAGGACACTTCAAAAGTGATCACCCCACTCTCCCTAAAAACCGCAGAAGGGTCAGTGAGACTTTATGCTCTCCTATTGAAAGTTGCAAATTCACCCTACAAATAACACTAATTTGGGGCTCTTAACATCTCTCTCCCAGCGCTGATCGAGTCAGGAGCTGCCGGAAACTTTATTGTTTATTTAGTGGGTGGGTTTTAATAGACTCTGCTTTAAAACAGGAATATGTTTGATGCATATTCCCCTCAAGAGTGGCATTCGACAGTGTTACACTAAATGCATTAAACTATGTCTGTCAACTTACCTGGTTCAGCTGTCGTGGCTACCAAGTCCAATTTTAGAGAGACAGAGAAAGAAAGCGAGAGAGAGAGTAACAAAAAGAGACAGAACCATGTAAACATTACTGGCTCACTTCCACATCCTTACAAATATATATAACCCTTTTGTTGCTCTATAGAAATACTTTCAAAAAGCTTCTCATCAGTCTGAAGAACCACCCTTACGAAAAACCATTTAAGCATGCAGTTGCTTCGAGTGTTTATGGTTCTAAATAGAACCATTGTCTTTAATAAAGAACCTTTGAAGAACCGTCTTTTTTAAGAGTGTAGTCACCTCAAGAGTTTGCAACATGCGAATCAAACTTGGAATACATTATTCATTAGGTGAGATCTGGGAGACTCTGCTTTAAAACAAGAATATGTCTGATGCAGATTCCTCTCGAGAGTGGAATTTGACAGTGGCACGCTGAATGCAGTAAACTATGTTTGTCAACTTACCTTCATCTGTTATGATTACCAAGTCCAATTTCAGAGAGACAGAGAGAGAGAGAGAGAAATATACACATTATTATGAATATTTGAATATCTGATTATTATTTTCTTTTCTTAAAATCAGTAGGTGGTGTGTCTTTTGGAACAAAAGCTTTATGGACTACATTTGTCAGGTGTAATATCTGCCCTCGACACTAGAGGTCAGCCTCACCTGAGTTTTGAACTGTTTCTAGTAACACCTTCCTTTCATTCACCTGCAGCTCATCCATCTCCCTTTATAAGGACCCACAACATCACATGCTCTCTGTCAAGTATTGCCAGTTTGTCTGTGCACTAAGCCTTGTATCTCCACGTTTCCTGGCCCAAGGACAACTATTGTGCTCTCACACTCAGCAACTACTGCACCTCAATACCACCCTCAATGAAATGCTCCATGTGGTCCGTAGACTTTAAGCCTTCCCCATCTACCTCTGGCACATCCCTCCTCTCTGTTAGGCTGGCCCTTCCTGACAAATACAACAGGTCCCCTGGCCTGTGTAAGGGATTTTTCAATGCAGTGCTTGATTAATTTTTTTGTGCCTCTGCTGCTTTTCCCACAGATTCAACTAAGATGGCCTTTGTCATGTCCCTGCTCATGGGTAAAGCTCTCTCCTGGGCCACAGCTTTGTGGCAAGCCCAAGTACTTTGCTTCTACTGTGGCCATCAAGGACACTTCAAAAGTGATCACCCCACTCTCCCTAAAAACCGCAGAAGGGTCAGTGAGACTTTATACTCTCCTATTGAAAGTTGCAAATTCACACTACAAATAACACTAATTTGGGGCTCTTAACATCTCTCTCCCAGCGCTGATCGAGTCAGGAGCTGCCGGAAACTTTATTGTTTATTTAGTGGGTGGGTTTTAATAGACTCTGCTTTAAAACAGGAATATGTTTGATGCATATTCCCCTCGAGAGTGGCATTCGACAGTGTCACACTAAATGCATTAAACTATGTCTGTCAACTTACCTGGTTCAGCTGTCGTGGCTACCAAGTCCAATTTTAGAGAGACAGAGAAAGAAAGCGAGAGAGTAACAAAAAGAGACAGAACCATGTAAACATTACTGGCTCACTTCCACATCCTTACAAATATATATAACCCTTTTGTTGCTCAGTCTGAAGAACCACCCTTACCATTTAAGCATGCAGTTGCTTCGAGTGTTTATGGTTCTAAATAGAACCATTGTCTGTAATAAAGAACCTTTGAAGAACCGTCTTTTTTAAGAGTGTAGTCACCTCAAGAGTTTGCAACATGCGAATCAAACTTGGAATACATTATTCATTAGGTGAGATTTGGGAGACTCTGCTTTAAAACAAGAATATGTCTGATGCAGATTCCTCTCGAGAGTGGAATTTGACAGTGGCACGCTGAATGCAGTAAACTATGTTTGTTAACTTACCTTCATCTGTTGTGACTACCAAGTCCAATTTCAGAGAGACAGACAGACAGAGAGAGAGAGAGAAATATACACATTATTATGAATATTGAATATTCATATTGTATTATTATGAATAACTGTTTCTAGTAACACCTTCCTTTCATTCACCTGCAGCACATCCATCTCCCTTTATAAGGACCCACAACGTCACATGCTCTCTGTGAAGTATTGCCAGTTTGTCTGCGCACTAAGCCTTGTTTCTCCACGTTTCCTGGATTTATGGTGTACTTGGACAGTCATCTTTACTCTTGGACTTTGCCTTTTGGATTCTCTTTGGTACTTTTGCTGGATCTATCTTGGTTTTCTGACTATTGTGGACTGTTTTCTGACTCTGCTTCTGGTTTTGTGGACTTTAATACTGTGTTTTTTGAGTAAACGGGACAACGGATTCAGACATGTCTGGAGAGAACACTTCCCCGCCCAGAATCCAGAAGGCCTGCTTGATCTCCAGGCAGCTGTTTTGGCCCAAGGGCAACTATTGGGCTCTCATACTCAGCAACTACTGCACCTCAATACCACCCTCAATGAAATGCTCCATGTGGTCCGTAGTCTTTAAGCCTTCCCCATCTACCTCTGGCTCATCCCTACTCTCTATTAGGCTGGCCCTTCCTGACAAGTCCTGACACATCCTTTTCCCACAGATTCAACTAAGATGGCCTTTGTCATGTCCCTGCTCACAGGTAAAGCTCTCTCCTCGGCCACAGCTATATGGTGAGTCCATGTACCCGATTCTTCCATGTACTCAGACTTTGAATGTGTATATAGAGAGGTTGTTGATCACCCAGGATTCAGATCCTGGAGAGCTTTTGCTGTTTCTTAAACAAGGTAACAAGACAGCAGCTGAGCATGCCTTGAACTTTTGTATGCTTGCTGCAGAGGCTGGATGGGAGGATAATTCATTGAAAACTGTCTACTGTTAAAGCCTTAATGAAGTTCTGTAGATCTTCAGAGCTGGCATGTAAGGATAGTGATATCATCTTTCTGATTCACACAGTTATCCATTACTTTAGATAATCTTATTAGTTCACTGCAATAGAACGGCAATAATGCATGCACAAAGGGCTTTGCTTCTACTGTGGCCATTATAAAAACCCCAAAAGGGTCAGTGAGACTTTATACTCTCCTACTGAAAGTTGCAAATTCACACTACCAATAACACTAATTTGGGGCTCTTAACATCTCTCTCCAGCGCTGATCGAGTCAGGAGCTGCTGGAAACTTTATTGTTTATTCAGTGGGTGGGTTTTAATAGGGGAATTACTAAACCATGCTGGACACTGGCCATCTGGGACTGGAATACAATACCTCTGAACACTCTTAAAAAGATGAAGGGTTCTTTAGTAAAGACAGTGGTTCTATATAAAACCATGAACACTAAAAGAACCATATGCATGCGTGAATGGTTCTTTGCATGATTCTATGTAGAACCATATAACTTCTACATAGAACCTTTCTGAACAGAGTTCTATATAGCAACAAAAAGGATTCTTATATATTTACAAGCTTCGTAATAATATCAGAAAAGTGCTCTATAGAACTTTTTCAAAAAGCTTCTATATAGAACCATGTACAGCTTCATCAGTCTGAAGAACAACCATACGAAGAACCATTTGAGTATGCAATTGGTTTGAGTGTTTATGGTTCTAAATGCAACCACTGTCTTTACTAAAGAGTTAAAGAGCCTCAAGAGTTTGCAACATGCATTGTTTTGCACAGGACTCAAACAGATATGGGAGATTTGGGAGACTTTGCTTTAAAAAGAGAATATGTCTGATACAGATTCCTCTCGAGAGTGGAATTTGACAGTGGCACTCTAAATGCAGTAAATTATGACTGTCAACTTACCTTGTTCAACTGTCGTGGCTACCAAGTCCAATTTTAGAGAGAGAGAGAGAGAGAGAGAGAGAGAGTAACAAAAAGAGACAGACCAATGTAAACATTGCTGGCTCACTTCCAACTCCTTATAAATATATTCTTGACATTTATACCCTTCAAAACCTTTCAAAATATATATATATATATATATATATATATATATATATAAATATATATTCAGTATTTTAATATCTGATCATCTTCACGAGGCCCAATAAGCATTCATTTTTGCACGCTTTCACTTTACTTATTGTTATTGATACTGTTATTCAACCTTTTCTTTAAATAAACATATGCATCAAGAAAATTTCAGCCAACTTGCCTTCCGGGTCCGTTGTCATTGGCACTAATTTTAGGGGGAGAGAGAGAGAGAGGTTATGTTTGTAAATGAAGAGCACAGGAACTATGCAATATGATAATTTCTTTAACCTCTTTAACTCTGTAAACGGGAAAATATCTCTCAACTTACTTCCATATGTCTTTGCCACTCCGCCTAATTTTAGAGAGAGAAACAGAAAGAAACAAAGAGTCAGAATGAATGAACCATGAATCACTCACTCACCTCCACGTCCTTATATATACATGTGATCATGTATATTTAGAACCTTGAACACCCATCAAACTTTAGATTTTCTTATGAATACATGGTTATCTGAACATCATTTTAATAAAAGGTGTTAGCTACAGTGCCCTCCACAAATACTGGCACCCCTGGAAAGCATGAATGAACAGGCCGGAAAAACATTCTTTATTGCTTGTTCTTTTGATCTTTCATTAAAAACAGTAACAAAAATCTTATCTTTATTTGAAGTACAATGATTAAGACAAAAACCTCAGTCTTATCATGAAATAAATATTTTCTTCAGTTCTATATATCGTTGCTGTCTAATGAAAATTATGTATCTCCATTTTTTACGAGTTTTACTTTTTTGCATCATTTGAGCTCAGTAGTTGTCCTTTACAATGTGTGAAAATTTCATGATGATTGGACCAATAGAAATGCTCCAAAATTGCTTAGAATAAAATCCCTTTCCATTAACTTGCACTGAAAGGTAAGAGTGTTTTTGCCCTCTCCTGTGAAGGAGATATTTGTTTTTCTTTGGACAGCGACGATATGCAGGTGTTGGCACCCCTAGAAATTCATGAGTGAAATCTTGAATATTCCTGTTCATATTATATGTTTTAAGGTTAACCTGAGTAATAATGAACACTTAAATAGACCACTGAAGCTGCGTGTCATTCTGTACTAAGTAAATAATATACTAAAGTACATTATTTTATACTTCGGCTGTCACTTTGTGTGATACACAAATCATATAATGAACATGATGAAAATTATTAAATATAAAATGATAATAAAATGATAATATATAAATGCCTATATTATCAATAAATTCATGTTCATTTGTTTCAGGATGTTTTCGTTCAAGTTTTCACAGCACATTTACACACTTTTGGCCAGCAGATGTCGCCAGTGTTCTATGTTTGAAGAACAGTGACTCATTCCTCAAAGTGACTGGTTCAGTTGTATTAAGCTTGGCCACTTTGGATAAGAGGCTTCAGTAGCACTGCCAAACAAGGGGACTAAAGGATTATCACTAAAATACTAAAATCAACCCTCTACCCAACAGCAAAGGCCCTGTGGGAAAGAGACTTCAGCATAAATGTGTTTATTATCATTTGAGATCCACTGAATCGCATATAATATTTACATTCACACATCACTTTTTTAGTTACAAAGGCCTCTCTCGTAGCTCCACCTTGCTAGTGGACAGTTGGAGATTGAAGCCCATCTGTTGGTGCACAGTTTGCCATCTTCTATTCCTTCATGAGTGGTCAGTTTGGATGGTGGACCACTCTCAAACTAGCGTTGACGCTGACGTGTAGAAAACTAGGGGTGTAACGATTCATGGAATTCAAAATTCGGTTCTATACGATACAGTGGTGTCTGTAGCAAAAATATAGAGTGCCTGGAAATATCATTTTTTCAGTTTATTAGAGCATTCAACATTATAAAAGTACAATATTTTGTAATAACCTGCTAGCCATGAGCTTGGGGCTAACATACACTGGCAAGGGGTGTGCCTCTTCCCTGCTCTCGAGGTTGAGGTGTGGAGGAAGTGATATTTTCAGTCTGTTGAATGTAACGTTCGATGCCTGTGCGCACGACTTGAGAGGCTCATACTGAAAAGTACATTACGTATATCCAGACAACTGTGGCCCTGTGGTCGGAAACTGACCTATGATGAGTGGCGAGGGGCTGATAAGCTGTGCAGCGACAGATGGACTACAGTCTGTAACTATAAACCTATATAGTGGACCTATAAGGAAGCCTGAGCTTGTGTAGTGAACAGTGAGTGGAAGTACAAGGTAGGTGGACAGAAACATGTACTAGATCATCTAATGATATTACATACAATAAAAACCAAGATCTAGTAGCAACCTTTGACCTCACTTCAGGCGTAATGTTCAGTGCATGGACTTACTCATAAAGAGCAGGACGGCCAAACACAGTGGAAGCAGATACCCCATCCTGAGAAGAAGATCTGAAAAATTATAAAACAAAATGCTTTTTTTTCACAATATCACAGAAGAATCAGTGCATGCATACAAACTACCGTGCATGAGCTGCTGATAGTGATGATGAGCTGATCAGCTGTTTGTGCTCAGAGGATCTGCAATTTTTAACACTGGCTTTTAGTTATAAACCATTTTGAAATGGACACCAAACGTGTTTACAGATCAGCCAAAACATTAAACTACCTCCTTGTTTCCACACTTTATCAGCTCCACTTATGACATAGGAGCACTTTGCACTTCACCAGCTACAGACTGTAGTCCATCTCTTTCTCTGCTCACTTTGTTACCCTGTTCTTCAATGGTGACAAAGTATGCAGAGAAACAGATGGACTACAGTCTGTAATTGTAGAACTACAAAGTGAAACTATATGGTCAGTGGAGCTGATAAAGTGGACGATGCTTTACATGCATTTGTAACAGTTTGAACAGGGCAAGAAATAAATTGTGTTTCATGTTATTATTTATTTTTTTTATTTCAGGATTTCTTTTCAAATCTATTTCGCATTCCACAGCTTTCTGCCCCTCCAGGGGAAAAAAAAACCTTAAGGTGAGATTAACATCTAAATAGGAGTGAGGAATGTCACGGAAAGTGTCAACGTCTCACTTTTTTCAAAAGATACTCGATTCCCCAGTCCAGTCATAATTCAGGCATAATGAAAATACTTGGTAATAAAAAAAGAAGATTTAATTGGATTTTGACTTAGGAAGTAGGAGTGAATCAGATTCCTCTCTTATTTATGAAGAGCTTACAGACAAGATCAGATGCTAGATCAATACTCCTACTCTGAGAATTTTATACATGCCCAGGACATTTGTCTGACCATGAAGGTTTGGTGCTGGACCATTTTGTAGTTACTGGTAGTTATTTGCAGTGGTTATTTATTTAATTACCCTGTTAAAATTGGATTTAAGGTTAAATTCCCCTTTAAGGTTATATCTAATGGGTATCCTAATTAATATAACATTCAACAAAGGTTTTGTGGTCGCAATTCCTTGTGAGTTTGGGTTCAGATCTATCTATCTTTCTGTCTATCTGTCTGTCTATCAGGGGGACAGTGCCCATCACTCAGTATAAAGGTGTCAGTGTAAATGTTGAGATCTCAAGCCCAAAACATTACATTATGTTACTTGTTTAAGTTCAGTCTTGAAGGTAGAACTTCATTAGTCACCAAAATGATGCTTGCACGATCCATGCAATAATACAGATTTGCAAATAATGGCAGGTAAACTTTTATTAGATACATTTTTTATCAATATATCTTAAAACTGTAATTTCTATTGTTTACTCTTAGAATAAGCTGCCCTGTTCTGCTATACACCTACATATCATCGTCAGAACAGGTTTTTAGGAAAAGGTAAAAACTCTCTTGACTTATAATTGAAGTTAATGTAAACAGATTTTTCCCAAGTAATTTTGGAGCATTTATATTTGTCCAATCATTGTGACTCTTTTATGCACTGGAAATGCCAAGTTTTGTCCAGGCAGCAGCAATATAATATCCCATCCGAATAAGTCTGTCACTTTATTGACGAGGTTTGTCACTACTATCTATGTTTAATACTGTTTATTAGTCATTACTCAATGTACTGTATTGCTGCTGTGTTATATTGTTGATGTCAGTAGGAACTACGTGCAAGTAGGAATTTTGTTGCACTCGGTGCGCATGACATTAAGGAGCTTCGACTTGACAGAATCATTTCAGTTCATCACTGCTGATTTATACGTTTGTATTGAGCTATTATGTATGTTAGGGGTGGGCGATTGTGGCCCTGGAGGGCACAGTTTGCTCATTTTCCTGCTTTAACACACCAGCTAAACCTTGTAATTACCTCATGAATCAGGTATGTTCAATGCAAATTGTTCTGCACTTGCCAAGATTTAAAATCATACTGTAGATCTGGATATATGAGATCAATAATCTTGTTTTAGAAGTTATTTATTAGTCTGTCTCTTTGTCTTTTATTCCTCGGTTAGTCAGGAAATCTAGTATTCAGTCTTCTTGCTCTGCCATTTTTTTCAGTGTGCTAAAATTAAGAATGCAAAAAAAGAATTATTCTTAGATGCATCGCGATGCAGACGTGGACGATTCTGAATCGATTCACAAATGTCAAAAATCGATTTTCTAAATATTTAATTTATAACAGTCTGCGCCCAGACAGTCTCTGGCAGCACATAACAAAAACACAACTGGATGATCGAGAAGTCCGACCGGCACCCTCTGCACTTAGTCAGGAAATCTAGTATTCAGTCTTCTTGCTCGGCCATTTTTTTCAGTGTGCTAAATTTAAGAATGCAAAAAAAATTCATCAAGAATTATTTGGTAATGTTCAGTGTTATTTCATATATTACTGTGCTGTAGCAAGTCTGATCTCAAGTACTTTGATCTAAAATACAGCATTTTCTACTTTTTTCAGACCTTTGAATTCTTATCAGAGCTACTAATTTCTGGACTGCAACGTTTAAGATTTCTTGTAAAGTACAATTATTTTGCATGGACAGCAAATCATTTTCTCCTCAAATTTAGTGTTTTTTTTTTTAGCTTAAGTTTTTTGCTGTGGTAAATCAGGGAAATTGCCAAAAGGTGCTGAACACTGGACCCCCAAGGCTGCAGTTGCCCACCCTTGATGTGTAGGGTTACTCTATTCCACCCTAACTTAAGGCAACAAAAAAAGAGATAGAGACTACTAAACTAAGGTCGGGTGCCTTCTTCAGTTACTCCTTTAGTCTAATTTATTGCTTGTTTGCTCTATGTATGTATAATTTCCATTTTACTGTAAATGTTTTGTGCCATTTATTTATTTTAAATGTACAGGAATAACAGAGCCTATAACTCTGGCACCTGATATGATAATGACAGAATGATGGAATCTGAGATGCAAATCAAATAGTAATAAGCAATATCTTACCAGGTTGTAGGCAACTAGCGCAGTGTCTGGAGCCGCTCTGTGCTCGCCACCTGATGGGAAGAATTTATATATGCTAAGACAGAAATAGCTGAAATATGCAGCCATCAATCAAGATGAACCTGCTTTACCAGGTAAAATACACGCTCTTAAAATACATTCTCACTCCATACCTTCTGATTCGGCACAAGCTATATGACATCACTTAGGTAGGTATGACTTATTTCATTCTCATTAAGCATTCTAGGACTGGTCAAGCCAGAAGAGGCACATCAACACAATATGTCAATATGTAGAGTTTCATGCAAACAGTATTCAGTATAGTTTTAATTTGGATGTTATAGACCTTTTTAAAAAAGTACAGAATTCTTTTACTGACATATAAAGCTCTAAAGAGACTCATCCCTCAGTACCTGAGAGAACTTATCTCTTCTTATGAACCGTCACGCCTCCTTAGTTCACAAGGTGCTGGATCACTATTAGTACCCAGAATTAATAAAGTTACATCGGGGAGGAGAGCCTTCTCATACAAAGCCCCCCAGCTTTGGAATAACCTTCCAGTCAGTGTTCAGGACTCAGACACAGCCTGAGTCTAGGCTAAAAACCAGCTTGTTTAGTCGAGAATTTGGTAATTACTTTTTCCTGTTATTTAAAAGGTGCAGATCTGGGGTTCATGGACGTAGACTATTATGGAGAACTGACAATGTCAGTGCTGTCAACATTTTTAGTTATGCTCTAATAGCTCAGCCTGTTCGAGTCACTGCTGCACTCTGTTAACACTGTAAACTGTAATCAGTCACTCTTTACAGAACTGACTCTCTGTGTGTTTTCTTTGCCGAACTCAACAACTGCCCATCCTGTGCGTCTGATTCTGATTATCATCTCATAGCTTCTCTTATCACTGTTATGCTGATGACACTCAACTAATGCTTTCTTTCTCACCCTCTGACACACAGGTTTCCAGTCGGATCTCGGCATGTCTGTCTGACATCTCTTCATGGATGGCAGCTCACCACCTAAAGCTCAATCCTAGCAAGACTGAGCTACTATTCATCCCTGCAACTACAGGTCCTCATCATGATCTTGCCATCTCATTCGAGAACTCTCTGATTGTCCCGTCTGTAGAGGCAAGAAGTCTTGGTGTGATTCTGGATGGCCAGTTGTCGTTCTCGATTCACATTGCGACTCTAACTCGGTCATGCAGATTTCTCCTGTTCAACATCCGGAGGATCTGACCCTTTCTCTCGAGAGAGAGAGGCCACCCAGGTGCTAGTGCAGTCTCTTGTCATCTCAAGGCTTGACTACTGCAACTCGCTCTTGGCTAGTCTTCCAACGCAGGCCATCAGGCCTCTGCAACTCATCCAGAATGCAGCAAGACTCATCTTCAATCTCCCAAAGTTCAGCCACGTCACCCCACTGCTGCGCTCCCTTCACTGGCTTCCTGTGGCTGCATGCATCAGATTTAAAACCCTTATGCTTGCCTACAAAGCCAAAAATGGACCAGCCCCTCCCTACTTGATGGCAATGGTCAAATCTCGAACTGTACCACGAGCCCTTCAAGCTTCGAGTACAGCTCGGCTTGACCCACCATCCTTCAAGGCGCGCGGAAGGCAAGCATCAAGACTGTTCTCTGTGCTGGCACCCAAGTGGTGGAACGAACTCCCACTGGCTGTCCGTACAGCAGAGTCTCTCGCTGTCTTCAAACGCAGACTGAAGACTCACCTGTTTATTCAGCACTTAAATGAGCACTAAATTAAGTATTGATTTGGAATGTATTGTACAGCACTTATGTATTGTATTGTATTGTATTGTATTGTATTGCACTGTTCTGTGTTTAACTCTGTCCCTTTTTCACTAGGTGTCAATGACTTTCTGATTCTAGCAGTATCTGAGCTCAGGACTGGCTTTCTCTCTAACCTATTGGTAGCTGTTGCTTCATCTGCCTTGATTGGGTGCCCACTGCTCGCCAGCCTTCTGGACCAGTCTGACCATCATGGAGCTTCCTGCTGAGCAACATTATATAGACCTCACCTGCACAATTCGCAGGAGAGAAGAAGGAATAAGGAAGCTTTAATGTTCTAAATAAAACCTTTATTTGTCTTATCCGACGGCTATGATTTCTGATTCTGAAATGAAAATTGCAAATGGCAATCAAGGACAATCCTTCCGCAAATGTCTTCATCACAATAGCAAGAGTCACATGACAAACCTGAAATATGCAGTCAACAAACATGTACAACCTGCTTTGTTGTGAAAAACTACTTTCGTTCCTGATAATGACCATGTAATGTTTTCCCCAACCTGCTTAAGACCAAATGTCTTACATCCATTCATGAGGTGATGAGAACAATGGATTGTTTTTAGGCCTAAAATAGAAAATGTACAAGCTTTTAAAAAAGGTTGGGAGGGATATGATTCAATCAGTTCCTGTAAGGATTTTCCACACCAATGTTGTCTAAATTACAAATGATATTAATGCATATTTCTGGTACGATACTTCCTTGAAGTTGTTATTTTTCACCATTATATTCTGGGTCTGTACAAATTTTATTGTTTATATTGTGGAAGGAACATGCTATATAGTGTATAGAGTATTTCTGTTGTGTGTGTATATATATATATATATATATATATATATATATATATATATATATATATATATATATTTATATATAAGTGTGTGTGTGTTTTTCCCCTAAGGTAAATTCTTGTCTGATTTCTCATCTAAAGTTTTTCTGAATTGTCAGTCTGCCAGCTATGTACTTGACTGACAATTTATCAAATCATCACCACACCCACAGCAACGCTGCAGGGCCAGTAAAAACAAGCACCATGCACCCTTTGTTTGGATAATTGTTTCACTTTAAAGTTTGTTTAACAGTGTTTCCACCTGATCTTATATTATTATTAAGTGGCCCTTATTAGTCCCACAACGAGGAAATTTCACCTCTACCTTTGACCCATCCGTGCAGTGAAACACCACATACACACTGCTGAAGACAAACACTAGGGGGCAGCAAGCACACTTGCCCGGAGCGGTGGGCAGCCCTATCTGCGGTGCCCAGGGAGCAGTTGGGGGTTACGTGCCTTGCTCAAGGGCACGTACTGATGGCTCAGGGGATCAAACCGGCGACCTTCTGGTCACAGGGCTAGTTCCCTAACCCCCAGCCCATGACTGCCCCCCCTTTAAATATCCTTTAAACGTATGTTTCTGAGACCTTATGCACCACATAACAAAATAATAAAGGGGCTATTTAATAGAAAACTTACAAGGGACAAGTCGCACTGTCAAATAGCCGTAATCAATTAATTGTCCAGCCTTCTAAATAAACATTCAGAACAAGAATCATTACATTCTACGCTATACATCAAAAGATATCAAGGTTTTTTTGTATTTGAGATCCTTTATTCCAATGTCAACTGCCTGTTTTGTGGCCTTTCAGTTTCTGATCTTTAGTACAAATCAAAACGAGAAGGGGAGAGTGGGGCACAACCTAATGCATTTTCGTTCTTAATAATAATTTTAAAAATATTTAAGTTGGAATAATCATTATTTTATTCAAGCATCATATACATCTCTGCTTGAACCTTTTGTTCTAGCACCTACCGTTCATGTACAATTCCACCCAAAATGACAGAAAGTGCAGTGTTACAGTTTAGCCCATGGATGGGTTCACTGTAACACATATATATATATATATATATATATATTCCCACCAAACTGCATTATATATTATATATCAGTAAGACAGACAGACAGCTCAATTGATAGATACACACACACATCAAATTATATATGAACACTGACATGAGTCTGTGTGTCAAACATTGACAGATTTATTTTTGTCCAGTGAAGGAAAATAAAAACATCACACATCAGTAAAATATGGAACATTGTTTCTGAATAACTACAGCTTTACCAGCTGTTACTGTCAATTTCATTAATATACTTAAAACCAAAATACTGACATCTGAAAGATACTAATAAAGTAGAAGAAAATCCCTGTTTTCAGATGTTTTCTCTTTTTCCATCTTAAAATCTGTGTAAACATATGGAACAAAAAGACAATGTTCACTTTATTAGGCTTTGTTTACTAAAGGTGGCTTAGTTACCAAAACGGTGCTGCGTTGTAGGAAATAAGATGGTGATTAAAGTGATATAAGGTTGGATTTTGTCATTCACACAAATGACTTACATGCCCTGAAAACACTATTTGGCACAGATCTCTTTAAAACGCTGACCAATCACTCTGAATTTTGGTGGGAGGCCGCGGCTAGGGAATGTAAAAAGTTTTAGATTGTTCCCGCACCCCCTTAGATGACATTTTAGAAAACAACTATTGGCAGAAAACCACACTGCAGACCAGGACATGCATAACAAGATACGACATTATGTCGTCACATTAAGAACAAAAATGTTGAGTGTATCTTTATGATTGCGTGCAAGCACATTACATTAGTTGTTGCTCTTTTCCTGAGAACAGCAAGTGCATTTCAAAAGCCCATTTTAAAGTGATTGTTCACTGGTTGAAAACATGCACTAATAAAACATGCTAATGCATGGTTGCCTCCTGTCAAAGGTTCATGGCCTGTATGGTCTAGCCTCAAGTAGCATGGAATAAATATACCTGTTTCACTCTCTACCAGTTGCACAATGAAGCAATGAGGTGTGACAAGAACAATTTATCTTTTCATATCATCACTATTTATTCACTAAGCCTATAATGAGCAACTATGTAGGTAGGAGTTAAGTCAGTATGCAGAGCTACTGAACAGAAAGGAATCACTGGAATGGCATACATGGCATATGCGTGAGAGGTTGGTTCTGCCTTTCTAGGAAACTACAAAGGATTCCTGAAACGATTGCCAGTGTTGAAATTTTCGCAGGTATTATTGTCATCAGCAAACACCTTCATGCAATCGAAGTACATTCTTTTATTGTGATCTCACTGTTTTCTCCATCTTATGCGCCTTATTAATTTTGTATAATGTGTGTGTTTTCCCCATATGATCAATAGCCACTTTATGAGCTATATACTCTATAGACTG